AGAGCGGAAGCAGCCTGTCCACAGGCCTTGTAAGCCCTCGCCGTTAGACCGGACGAGAACTTACAGGCCTTGGACGGGAGGCGTGGGTCACCCCGCCAGGAGGAGGCGGATGCCGGACACAACTGCATCGCGACAGCCCGCTCCACTGGGGGGATCCCCACATACCCCTTAGCTGCCCCGCCGTCGAGGGTGGCGAGGGGAGAGGAGCCACTAGGACGGCTTCGGGCACTATACGGTGCCTTCCACGTCTTAGAAAGCTCCTCATGCACCTCCGGAAAGAAAGGTACCGGGGCGGCGCACTGAGAACCAGCACGGCCCGCCCCGAGAAACCAATCATCCAGCCGAGAAGGTTCGGGACGTGGTGAAGGATTCCACGCAAGCCCGACCTTCTCGGCGGCCCGGGATAGCATAGCGGCCCATTCTGGATCCGGCTCGGACAACGCTACACACCCCGAAGGGGGCAACGCAGCCGAGTCGTCATCTCCAGATGACCGCTCCCCCTCCGATGCTGCGATCGACATCTGATCGTCAGCTGGTGCCCCAAAGGAAACGACTGGTCGTTCCGGAGAAGGACCGAGCCGTTCGCAAAGGGGCGCCGATGGCAACAGCACATGAGAGGCGTGAGGGGCCCGCGGAGATTGCCTCGGCGGGGAAGCCCTCACGGTAATCCTCAGATCACCCTGGTCATGCGCCGAAGTAGGCCTATTCTGCGGGGCAGAATAAGCACTAGATCGGGGCATAGGCGAGGGGACTGCACCTCCCTTGAGGTAAGCGAGTCTCGACCTTAGTGCTGCGATAGTCATATTCCCGGAATGGGAACATGAACCATCCACAAAAGCTGCCTCAGCGTGCTGAATGCCCAAACACGAGATGCAGCTATTGTGACCATCTGCTGGCGCCAGGGAACGACGGCATCCAGAAACGCACAAGCGGAATGACATCTTGAAAAAGACGCAGGGTCCGCTTGTGTTGCTCTTTTAGTAAAAATAAAAAAGGAAATTGCTCTCACAGTGCTGAGGCGCCCAGGGGTAGCCACTGTGTGGACACACACACACACACACACACACACAAACAAAAGTGCTGTGAGAACAGCAGTTGAGAGCTGCACTGCTCGCGGCCACCGCTGATCGCGCCGTCACACCAACACTGGAACAGAGATCTTCCTTGCGTCTTCAAAAGGCGTTGAATCTCAGACACACAGTCACAGGAAACTCGCGCTCCGAAATGAAAGACGGTGTGTGCTCGCGCCCGCTTCCTGTTTTATACCCGCGCTGCGGGGCGGGGCCGCGTGACGCGTTCACGCACGCCAACGTTCATTGGCTTGTTCTTAGATACTCGAAGTTGATAGGGCTCCCTGAAGTGATCCCCTAACGTCGTCACGTCGACATCACGTCGAACGTGAGCGACTGAAGGGGAACCGAGGTTACGTTAGGTAACCGATTCGATTTATTTACAAACTCAACTTACAGGAACATACAGAAACAAAGGAAAACTCTCCAGGACTTCAAACACACACAACCATAAATTGACGACGACCAACAAACACTGAGGGAAAACACAGGGCTTAAATGAACAGGGACTAATGGGATAATTAACAGAACACAGGTGAAGGGAATTACTAATTAAACAGACCAGGAAACACTAACAGGACTAAACCAAAATCACAAAGACAGGGGGAAACAAGATCACAAAACTGAACTGAACACACTGAAAACGTGACAGTTAGAGAGCAACATACGGCAATTTTCCTGTTCAATAAATTACAGAGTAATAAAAACACCATCTCCGCGTCACTTTTAAAACATTTCAAATCCCTCAGTCCTCGCCGTCTCCGAAAAGCCAAGCCAATGTTGATTCTTGGTTTATTACGGGCTTCTCTGTGTTCTCTCTTTGCCAGCAGACTCTCCTCTGTTCAGCGTTTTTTTTTAAACGGGTGATTCCGGGGAGGTTTGAGATTTAGGCTACGTTTACACGGCAACATGCTTAAAACGGATATGTTTTTCCTTTAAGTTTTCCACGTACAGACGACACCATTGTAAAAACGATCCCCATTCACACGGATCCGCGAAAACGACTAAAAATGCTGTATTCCGCTGCCAGGCCATTAGATGGCGATGAAACTCTATAGATTTAACACGTAATACGCATGTGCATGACGTCATTGTTTTCACAGATTCACGTTTTCGTTGTTTACACGGAGACCATTTTCACAAACTTGCACTTTGAAACCCGTTTTCTAAAGTTTGCTTTTTCAGGCACCCTAAACGCCGTTGCCATGTAAATGAACGGCCAAAACGTATAAAACGTTTTACGTTTTTAGTTGAAAACGTGTCGTGTAAACAGCCCCTAACCTATACCCCTCCCACACAATACACGCACCGGAGCAACTTTTCTCCATTTATGGATATGACGAGACACGCACAGACGTTTGACGCATGTACGCAATTTCCCCCGAAAACCATACTTACTAACACTTATAATAGGCTTACCATAGTGAACCAGGGTAAGAAAAAAATACATTTTGGAAGAAGGGTTGATGATGATTCATTATTTGAATTTAGTTCATTTAGAAGTTCCTTTAATTAATAAATGTGTATGTGAGAAGGGCAATAAAGACATTTAACTTGAATTTTAGCTGCTTAACGTCAGCTTTGGTTAAAGTTAACTTAATATTGTATTATTTTTAATATTGTATTATTTTTTTGCAAAGCTAAATTTGAGACTAAACAATACGTTTAAGTACATTAATATGAGATTTCACTGTTTACATCAAATGTAAGAAAAAAACCTTCACATTATATATTAAGGTTTCTCATTTCTGTTTTTATTTAGAATCCATTAATAATGAGTGAATTGGGCAATCAGATTCCAGTGGGTGAAATCACATGTGCCTCATATGCCACAGATTACGTCTGAGCAGAGAGAGAGCGAGATGCACAGGGTATGCTTGGCACTCGACATTGTTAATGTAATTACAGAGAAAGGGATACGCTTCCTTTCTTTCTCTCTCTCTGTCTATCGTTCTCTGTCTTTCTCTATATCTGCCTGATTACATTGTATAACTCACATGAGCCTAGTTAGATGTGACCCGCTATGCAAGTTACCACGTTCTTTTGGGACAAAAGGTTTTCATGTGTCTGAAAGCTATCTTGACTGGTGCACATTGTCAGACTAATGGTATGTGAGAGAGCAATGCTGAAAATGTAAATATTATTGTCTTAAGCTGAATGTTCCTCAGGAACGACCATTTATAGGATCGAGTCTGTTCTTGAATTCTGTTTCGTCTTCGGCGATCAGTTTTGTTTGGGGATGCAACTTAAAATTCTGGTTATACAATAAGATGATAATTATTTTGTTGTTATGCCAACAACTGGATGATATTAATACTCTAGTAGCACTTTATTTTACAGTCCTGTTCTCCATGTACATACTATATACTTATTGTAATAACTGGGTAATAACTAGGTACTAGTCCTGAACCTACCCCTAAACTTAACCTTAACCCATGTAGTTACCTTTTAATACACAGTACTTTCTTGGTAAGTAGTACACTGTACACTGAAAGTGTGTGTACTGTAAAATAAAGTGCAACCAATACTCTATACTGTTTTGTATAAATGAATGAAAAATAAAACACTAACAAACTCAAATCAGTCAAGTGTAGGTATCACAATATTATATTGTACAAAATGGATATTGAGATTTTTGAGATTTGCTAAAGATCATTATTAAACTAATTGTGTTTTACTAAATGTAAAAATAGAAAATCAGATAAATTAGATGCACAATTAAATAGCCAGTACCTACCAATAAAATAAAATAAAATATCTAATATCGACTTGTACCCAGTATACTGATATTTCATGCATCCCTAGTTTTTGTTTTTATTTTTCATATTTAAATGTCCATAAAAAGAGACATATATTAGGTTTTTTAACTGCCTGATGAATGAGTTCCCTTATTACATGCTCTCAGAACACTTGGTTCATTCTGCCGACAAATAATTTTGTGTAATGACCGTTAAATTGTATATGTGACAGGCAATTGAGTTCCTAAACAGCTGTGTTCATATATCTTGCACCACTTTGGTCCCTTTCTTCTATCATAGTAGAATAATTTCTTAAACTGAAATAAATTTTCCAAGTGCATTTATTTATTTATTTGGTAAGTAGCCATATAATAAGCAGGAAAATGTTTTAAAAATAAAAAATATTAAAGTAATGTACCACTAAAAGTGGAGAAGGTGTGGGGAAACAGTGGTGTATCAGTCTTTGATTTCGGTCAAGGACAATTCATGCACAAGCCAATGAGAAGCTGGGTCAATCACTGTGTGAAATACATTAATCTGAATAATAGTGATGGCAAGAGAAAAGAAGTTGATTTATACCTTTGAAATGTTTTTACAAGACTTTGGATCTGTATATAAAAGTGGAAAATTGCTTGCAATCAGACAAATCTTGTGAGGTCCCAAAAATTAAATTTTTCTAGTCTCATGCTTCAGATTTGGGAAGGAGTCTGTACCCCTAATGGGCCTCACATGTTTACCGATGTGCATGGAGAAACTCAATCTCAACCCATTGACAGATCCTATACGGCAAACCGGATATACTCCAAACGCAGTATAGTTGGAAATTAGTGTTTAATTTAGGCTAGTGACATGTGGTTTTTAAATTGTTATTAATTTATGTTTTTTTTTCCCCAAGTGATGTCTTCTGATCCTATGATTAGATCTGTCGGAGAAAAAAAAATTCCCCTTGTGATGCAATTAAACTTTGAATTCACAATGTACACTGATTTTATTTACTCATAAAAGCACCATATATTCTTGTGTGGTTGGTTTTAAAAGCTTACTTCTCCCAAATCTAATTGAAAGTTTAGTTTGCCTCTGGTATTATACTTAGACACACCTACAAATTACAAGGCAATTCATTTGGCATGACTAATATAACACTGAGTTGTAACCAATCAGAGCGTTTGTGTGTGTTAGTGAGGTCTGTCAGTAGGTTTACTTAAATCGAGAGAGCTGTTCTCTCATTCACACACTGCCCAAATCCAGGAACACTTCTTCGAGACAAACACACAACACCAACATGCATAGTAAAGATCAAATCTGGTAAGTTACATTTTCTTTCCTCCTTAAGGTTAAGACAAAGTATATCTTAGGATTGTGCATGAACGAAATGGCATACTTTTTCTTGAAAATGTAGAACTGTAGCTCTATTTAATACTGTTTATTTCTATAAATGATATTCTCATCTTACAGTATGAAACAGTATTTAGGTCAAGCAAATGGATATTTGTCTTTTTAAAAGCAATAATGCCAATATAATGCTTTTTATTAATTCACAGTTGCCCTGATTTTTCAAAAACTGTTAAGGTCACAGTCCACAATGTGCAGAAAATGAACTACAGTAATATATAATGGGACAACAATAGAGCCAGTTACTGATGCTTTAAATTCCACAGTTCCCTCTAATGAATATAGTCAGGCTTTAAGTTTAATAAAGGGTTTTTTTTTTCTTGTCACTAGCCATGAGGACTACCAGAGAACGGCAGACTGGCTGCTGTCCCAGACACAACACAGACCTAAAGTAGCCATCATCTGCGGCTCTGGACTGGGCATGCTGGCAGACGCACTCAAGTGCCAAGACTCTTTCAAATACTCTGACATCCCTGGCTTTCCTCAGAGCACAGGTAGCTAAGACACTGCTCAGAACATGTAGGAATGTATTTGCTTCAGTGTTTTTCTTCATTTGCTAAAATAAAGACAAAGTATTATCAAACAGTATGCGTGACACTACCAACACCAAGGTCATAGGTTTGATTCCCATGGAAAGGAAGAACTGATAAAACAGTTTTTCTAAAATGTGTATCTTGAATGCAATGCAAGTCACTTTGTATAAAAGCATTTGCCAAATGCTTTATCTAAATACAATAATGTAAAATATGTCAATATTATGCTAGCATGTTACACTGTTCAACTTTTAACCTGCAAAAACTTTTTTAAATAGCTCCTTCAATATTAAAAGGATGGAAACAAAGTTAAAGGGAAAAAAAATGTGTATTTTGTTATAAGTAATAATGCTTGTATGTGTTTGTGTGTATTCAAACAGTGAAGGGTCATGCTGGAAGGCTGGTTTTTGGGGAGCTCAAAGGGAAGACCTGTGTGTGCATGCAGGGTCGATTCCATATGTATGAGGGACACTCGCTAAGCAAGGTTTGTCTTTTTCAAACCAAAGACACTACATGCCCCACTTCTTTGCCATAAATTGTATGCTATCGTTCAAACATTTGTGGTCGGTTTTTGAAACAAGTCTTTTATTCTCACCAAGGCTGTATTTATTTGATTAATTTATTCCTGTGATGGCAAAACTGAATTTTTTCAGCATCATTTCTCCAGTCTTTAGTGACACATGATCTTTCAGAAATCATTCTAATATGCTGATTTGGGCTCCCGAATTTTGGCTCCAGAATGTGTGTGTGTGTGTGTGTGTGTGTGTGTGTGTGTGTGTGTGTGTGTGTGTGTGTGTGTGTGTGTGTGTGTGTGTGTGTGTGTGTGTGTGTGTGTGTGTGTGTGTGTGTGTGTGTGTGTGTGTGTGTGTGTGTGTGTGTGTGTGTGTGTGTGTGTGTGTGTGTGTGTGTGTGTGTGTGTGTGTGTGTGTGTGTGTGAAAACAGGCAGTATTTATTTAAAATAGAAATTATAGATGTCTATACTGTCACTTTTATGCAATTTAATGCATCCTTGCTGAATAAAATTACTGTATTAATTTCGTAAAAAAAAAAAAAAAAGATTCTTACTGACCCCAACAGTAGTGTACATTTTCAACATTTTTCATTTCAGTACATATCATATCATTCTTGGGCAAACACAGTTTAATGTTCCATCAGGCTTTATTTTCTTTATGGCCCATGTTAATACAAAATCTATCTTGACAGTTTCATCATGTGTCATAAAAAGAATTATGTTACATAACAAAATTATATTACATTCCAAAAGTAATAACTACAGAACACTGTTCTATTCATGCTGTGTCATGCTGCAGTCTAAAATGATGATAGAATAAGGAGATTCTTTTTTTTGGATGCCCACACGGTATAGTCACTTCATCCTAGTCACGCTGAGTCACATGCTTTATGCCAGTGCGTAATTTAACATTCAATGAAACTTTTGTGTGGTTTACATAACACAGAGTTAGATTAAAATGGCTTATTAGTAATATGCCTTGTACAGTACAGCAGCAAGCTTTGGTGGATGTTGAAAATGGATTACCAGAATTTGTGCTTGTGTTCCTCAGGTCACTTTTCCAGTAAGAGTTTTCAAGCTTCTGGGTGTCGATACCTTGATTGTCACTAATGCTGCGGGGTCATTAGCGGACAGTTATAGCTGTGGTGATATTATGATCATACGAGATCACATTAACTTCCCTGGACTTGCTGGACTGAACCCTCTCAATGGCCCTAATGATGATAAGTGAGTATCAATGTACATGTTGAAGTGAGTTAAGAAAGTGTTCATTCATTATAATCACAAGCTATGTAATCATTTATCGGTCGCTATCAAGGTTTGGCACTCGATTTCCGCCCATGTCTGGGGTCTATGACAAAAGCCTACGGAAGATGGCATTCGACATTTGTAAGAGCATGGGCGTCTCCCAGTATGTCCAAGAGGGCGTGTATTGCATGGTGGGAGGACCCAACTTTGAGACCATAGCTGAAGCCCGACTTCTGCACAGACTGGGAGTGGATGCAGTTGGTAAGATGGTGTCTCATTTAGTAAAATCAATATCATTTTTTTAAAGTGCCCTTATTATGCTTTTTTACTACCTTTTATGTGGTTATTGTTATATAGCTGTTTGTGAATGTAAAAGGTCTGCAAAGTTTCAAAGATCAAAGTGCTTCATAAATGGAGTTATTGTCTCCCAAAAGAAAGAATCGAGCCTGAAGCGAGTCGTCATTGATCGCAGACTTACTTCCTGCACAAACGTATGGGTTTGTAACAAATTTACATAATGCCAGCCAATGGTCTTCATTGGCTGCCCGCGAGCAACGACCACTGTGACCCTCAAACACTTTAGTTGTAGCTGAGGCCTGGAGGAGTTCGGTTTAAGTTGTCGACATGACGCTATTTTATGCGCCGCAAAAGCAAAGGATCTAAAGGATGAGGATGCTCGAAATTCAGATATATAATGGGTGTTTCGTTTACGACATGCGCTGTATAACGGTAGACCAGTCGTAACAGACTGAGCCATCTGACCAATCAGAGCGGAGTAGGCTTTCGGAAAAGGAGGGATTTAGATAGACTGAGTGCTTCATCTAACCGTTTCAGACACTGTGTGAAAAGCTGTGATGCTGCAATGGATATTAAAGTGTTTTTAACCTTGGATGCATGTAAACCTGTTGTAGGAGACCGGCATAACAAAATAAGGAACCTTTAATATAGCATTATAGGGGCACTTTAAATTGCTTAAAGGGATAGTTCACCCAATAATGACAATGCTGTCATTAATTTCTCACCCTCATGTCGTTCCACACCCGTAAGACTTTCGTTCATCTTCAGAACACAAATGAAGGTCTTTTTAATTAAATCTAAGAGCTTTCTGTCCCTCCATTTACAGCCTATGTAACTACCAGCCCCAGAAAGCTAGTAAAGACATCATGAAAGTAATCCATGTGACTCCTGTGGTCTAACCTCAATTTTATGAAGCAACGTGTTCACGACGCATTCGTGTTGTGTTGACGCGAGAGCAGACGTTGTTGCGTTAACGTGCATTGGAGATTAATATTTTGTAAATAAAGTGATAAATTATGTTATTTGGTGCAAACAAAGTCCTCGTGTCGCTTCATAAAACTTAGGTTAAATTACTGGAGTCACATGAATTACTTTAATTATGTCTTTAATACCTTTCTGGGGCTTGAAAGTGATATTTGCATAGGCTGTCAGTGGAGGGACAGAAAGTTCTTAGATTTCATTAAGAAGATCTTCATTTGTGTTCCGAAGATCATGAAATCTTACAGGTTTGGAACCGTTTAAATTTGGCAGGATTTTTGAAAAACTTTATATTGCATAGAAATAGTAAGTGATAGTTATATTGTCTTAATTATGCATTTTATTATTAATTTATACATAATTTGCCTTTAAAGGAATGAGTACTGCACCAGAAGTGTTGGTCGCCAGTCATTGTGGCATGAGAGTCTTTGGTCTCTCCCTCATCACCAACAAAGTGGTGAAAAGCTATGAGGACAATGAGACTGTCAATCATGAAGCTGTGCTGGAAGTGAGCAAAATGCGTTCAGAGACGCTGCAGGTGCTGGTCACAGAGCTCATCAGCTGCATGGACATCAACAACAACACGGCATAATGTCATCAACACTGTAACTGCCCATCAAAACCTCATCCGGAAGAATCTGCAGCTATGCTGTCATCACTCTTTTCGTTGAGTAAAACTACAGAACATCTGTTTTAATAACACATTTTTTTTTATATTTAAATGTTAAGATTTTATTATTTGCAGTGATCATAAAAATCATATAGTTTGATGGTTCCATAACAACAAACTTAAAAAACTGTGAGATATTCAATATGTTATTCATGAAATGTAAAAAAAAAAAAGAAAAGAATTGTGCAGTGAAAGTTGTGTATGCATCTGTATATTCATGATTACATAACATTAGGCCCGTTTGTGTGGGAAATTATTAAATGTTTTATGCACTGCTATTCATTATACAAATTTATATCATTCCTAATGTTAATATCTTGATGATAAAGTATTTAAAATAATGTATTAAATCAAATATTTAAATCATTCCTATATGCTATTTATAATACATGTTATGATCTGTTTGTGTTGTAAATTTGCCATTGAATAGACCTGTTTTGTATAACCTTCTCTTCTATAAAACAAATACATAATCTTATCTTATAATGCAAGAATGTCAGCAATAAAGGTGTATTTAGAAAATATTTTACAATGAATTCTTTAATCATGTATATATCTGTTCTGCAGTGCAACAATAACAAGTGTATTTTGACAAGAATAAGTATATTTTAGCTACTATCGGTCTCTATATTCACTCACTTTGCTACAGTCACATATAATTTATAGGGATTTATAGACGTTCATATAAAGGATTACATTCGTTTTTCTGTTAAATTATGAACAATAGAATGACAGGAAACGGAGAAAGAGAATTTCCCCATTTTCGCGCATGCTCAGTATGTCCACTAGATGGCAGCAGAAGTACATTGTACACAGGCGTGTCGTGGTGTATCTCCGGTTGCTATGGGAAACTTCTGGAATGCTGGAATTGTTTAAGAACTCTTGATGACTTTTTGATATCGACAGAACTGATTTTACCGGTGAAGAAAACAACATCATGACACGCCTTTCATCCGGTGGTATGACTGACTGACTAACGACAACTGTGTTTATGACTTACATTATTGTTATAATGTTTGGGAATTTTGTGACACATAATGAAAAGGTTTGCAGTAGGCCTACACTCCATTTTTTTTCTTTCATGTATGAGTATTGATCTCTGTAAGTAAAATAGCTGCAGTTAGACTAAACCCTTTTTTTATTAAAATATTTTTTCAAGGATTACAGCAAATGGGAGCGAAGTACAAGAACAAAGCCTTTGCTTTGGGCAACATTTCATCATAAAGCAGTCATATCATCTAACAAAGGAGAAATCATACCATCTCCACCTGGAAAATCAGGTATAAACATGGCTACGGATAAATGTAATGCTTCTACTTTAGTGAGACATGTCTGTCTTTATGCATTGTTTTGTAATCTCTGCTTTATGAACAGGAAAATCTCAAAACGCTGTCCAAAATGATGTCACAACTCTCCCCAAACTCTCTACAAGAAGGGCACCTGAAAAAGTGGAGCAGGACCAGATCACCTCAAAGAGGAAAGACAACATCAAAGCACTGATGGTGTGTACTGTAAAGCAGGAAAGCCGACTTTAATAAAAGTTTACGCCACGCTGACAACTGCAATCTGTTGTAGTTACTCATCACATCCAGAAAAAACGCAATAAAAGACCTGGAGGAGCACTGTGAACAGCTTCAAGAGAGGAACCTGCAGATGGCCAGAAGCATTATTGACACAGACAGAAGCTCAGTCTCCAGAGCCAAAGAACTGCTCACACAGAGAGAACAAATGAGGGTGAGCTATATTGTATTATGTTTTTAGATCCCACTGTACACAAAGAGCACTGGATTCAAACTTTTTCAACGTTGAGTATTAAAGGCGGAGTAATCGATTTCTGAGAAACGCTGTTGAAAGTGGATCGCACCAAAATGCACTTGTAGCCAATCAGCAGTAAGGGATTGAGGGATCCATTCATGAGGGGGGTGGGCCTGTGCTGCATAGTGTGTTTGTGAATTTATGGGCTGAGCCAGAGTTGCGACACGCTTTGATGTCGCCGCGACGGCTGTCACGTGGTTCATGTAAGCCCCATTAGTTCCAAAACACACGCGGGCTGTCATGTTCTTCTATGGACAGACAGCAGCGATTGCATTATTAAACGGTAAATATAAAATAAAACACACACCCAAGTACTTTTTCAGCTGTTATTGCATTTTGTTTATGTCAGTTTTGCATTTGGAGAGGCAGGGTGACAACTTAGATAAGTTTTAGGCTATATTTTTGGAGGGAAACGCTAGTGTTCATGTTCGCATGGGTAGCACTGGCTTTAGCGGCTCTAACTTAACTTTTCCATGTCATTCATCTGATGATGGACGTCTCATGATATTTATTTCAGCACAACTGGGCTGTATTAGGCTATTGATTCCCGTGATCTTGCTTATAAATTCCGCTTCGTGATCACGCAAAGAGGTCTGCAGTCCGTTCAGAATTCTAACCAACATAAAATATAAATAATTACGCTGTGCATGTACAAATGAATGATTTAGGAGGGAAATAGACTGCTCCCATAACGTAGAAAGCAACGACTATATACAGCAATGTTCGGTAAATATTCAACCGAAAAATATTCTTCATAAAATTAAACCGGAGAGATAGTTAATGAGTGAATTAACTATGTTCCTAAATACATATAAGCACATATATGCATAACCCTAACCCATTTAAATAAATGAATTGTGTGTGTGTGTATGTATATAATATTATATATAGGCTATATATACACTCACCGGCCACTTTATTAGGTACCCCATGCTAGTAACGGGTTGGACCCCCTTTTGCCTTCAGAACTGCCTCAATTCTTCGTGGCATAGATTCAACAAGGTGCTGGAAGCATTCCTCAGGGAGTTTGGTCCATATTGACATGATGGCATCACACAGTTGCCGCAGATTTGTCGGCTGCACATCCATGATGCGAATCTCCCGTTCCACCACATCCCAAAGATGCTCTATTGGGTTGAGATCTGGTGACTGTGGAGGCCATTTTAGTACAGTGAACTCATTGTCATGTTCAAGAAACCAATTTGAAATGATTAGAGCTTTGTGACATGGTGGAAGTAGCCATCAGAGGATGGGTACATGGTGGCCATAAAGGGATGGACATGGTCAGAAACAATGATCAGGTAGGCCGTGGCATTTAAACGATGCCCAATTGGCACTAAGGGGCCTAAAGTGTGCCAGGAAAACATCCCCCACACCATTACACCACCACCACCAGCCTGCACAGTGGTAACAAGGCATGATGGTTCCATGTTCTCATTCTGTTTACGCCAAATTCTGACTCTAACATCTGAATGTCTCAACAGAAATCGAGACTCATCAGACCAGGCAACATTTTTCCAGTCTTCAACTGTTCAATTTTGGTGAGCTCTTGCAAATTGTAGCCTCTTTTTCCTATTTGTAGTGGAGATGAGTGGTACCCGGTGGAGTCTTCTGCTGTTGTAGCCCATCCGCCTCAAGGTTGTGCGTGTTGTGGCTTCACAAATGCTTTGCTGCATACCTCGGTTGTAACGAGTGGTTATTTCAGTCACTGTTGCCCTTCTATCAGCTCGAACCAGTCTGGCAATTCTCCTCTGACCTCTGGCATCAACAAGGCATTTCCGCCCACAGAACTGCCGCTCACTGGATGTTTTTTCTTTTTCGGACCATTCTCTGTAAACCCTAGAGATGGTTGTGCTTGAAAATCCCAGTAGATTAGCAGTTTCTGAAATACTCAGACCAGCCCTTCTGGCACCAACAATCATGCCACGTTCAAAGTCACTCAAATCAACTTTCTTCCCCATACTGATGCTCGGTTTGAACTGCAGGAGATTGTCTTGACCATGTCTACATGCCTAAATGCACTGAGTTGCCGCCATGTGATTGGCTGCTTAGAAATTAAGTGTTAACGAGCAGTTGGACAGGTGTACCTAATAAAGTGGCCGGTGAGTGTATATACATACATATAAAATATTATTAAAAATATTATATATTATATACATCAGTTGCCGTAAGTTAGCTAACGTTAGTGAAGTGTTGGTCACGTAAGCTATAGCTGCAATTAACCTATTATCTTCCAATAAACATTTACTAAAACTGGCTACATAAAATATAACTACATACTAGATTCACGAGAGGTCGGCTAATGTGTGTAGAAGTAAAAAAAATACAGTAATTTCATTAATTTACCAGCGAGCGTACTTCGGAAGCACTGAAAATGAATGGGGTTCAATGCTGGAACTATCAGTGTTTGGAACTATTGGCCGCTCCACGACACGCGTTACTTCCGCATTCCAAAGTTCCTATGGCGGTCTATGGGAGTGTCGCAACTCTTTCTCTCTATGGCTCTGGGCTGAGCTATCAAGATAAGGGTGTGATCCTTTTGGGTAGGGGGCGTGTTTGTTTTGGTGATTTCAAATATCAATAGCGTTTCTCTGAAATTGCTTATTACACCTTTAAGTTCCCCTAACCAGTGAAATTTGATATCATATGTTTTTTTTCTAGAGATCAATGGTAGCTTTGAAAAAATGGGATGACAGTCTTATTAAAAGTGCCAACGCAGAGCTGACAGATACAGAGGAAGTGTCACAGACTAATCTCAGCGGTTAGTTGAAACTTCTACACTTTACAATCAATTATGTTTTAGCTATTTTCATTATTACTTTTGTGGAAGTATGTGGAAACCCTTTTCTAATCTAATTAATTGGCTTTGCTATTCCAGCTATATTACCATTCAAAAGTTTGCAGCCGGTACAATTTCTTTACATGTTTTTCAAAGATGTCTCTTATGCTCTCTAAGGATGGGTTTATTTGATCAAAAATACAGTAAAAGTGCATAACAAACAGGGGCATAAAATCAAGCAAACACACTTTTAATGTAGAACGAGGCCCTCTTCTGTTCCAGCATGATATTGCCCCTGTGCACACAGAGAAGTCTACATGTTTGGGTATCCAGGTACTTTAGCGTTAATGCTAAAGCAAAAACAAACAACCCCAAACTGCAACAACATGTTTCAGTTGACTCTCTTATAAGTGCAGGTTTGCAGAAGCAGTTGGACATGGTAAAAGCAGAGGTGGTAAAGGCTCGGAAAGAGCTCCGCTTCCTGAAGACATACAAAGATATGGAGTTCCCAGTCAAGGCCTTGCAGATTGCAGACATGAAAAGAAAACTAGATAAACTGAAAGAGATGCAACAGGTAAAAAATGGGTAGCACTTTATTTTACAGTCCTGTTCCCCATGTATATACTATGTACTTATTATAGTAATTGCAATAACTAGGTAATAACTAGGTACTCTCTCTGAACCTAAACCTAACCATAACCCATGTAGTTACCTTATTATTACCCAGTACTTTCTTAGGTAAGTACACTGTAAGTGCACATACTGTAAAAGAAAGTGCAACTGAAAATAAGCAGGACTTACTGCCTGGATGAATAAAAGCTGACATTCTGGCCATCTGATGGGGAAAGAGTAAAAAGTACTTAAAGTTAGATCCAGGAAAATGCTGTATTTATTAAAATACACATGTGGTTCTAGCTCCCATAAGAAATCTTCAAAAATGTTTTAATATGTTTCTCCTCTATAATTGTCAGAAAGAGCAAGAGGATGTTAATCTGTTGTTTGAGAAAGAAACAGTCCATTTGGAGAGATGCCAACACCAAAGAGAACAGGAAGTGCTTTCTGCTGTTGTTGAGGTAAAGAAGCTCTTTTATGTCAATTTGTTTATTTCTTTTTTTTAATGAAGGTAATTCTTGACTTTTCTAGGTGCATTATCAAACACATCTTTGTTGTTTGATTTTCAGAAACATGAATCCCAGGTCCCTCCCATTGTCAAACTCGTGGCCTCACAGAATTACACAATGAGGGAAGAGATTGATATGCACAGAAAAGTGATTTAAAAAAATATATATATATTATTAAAGTAAATCTTTGATTGTTAAGCTAGACTTAATGAATTATTTTTTTAAAGTATGTTAATTTGTAAATGTATTTATTTATTTACATTGTATATTGACTGTATATATTTTTAAGGTGATAATGGAGCTAGAGCAGAAGAACGAAGAGCTAATGAAGAGTATTCAGGAACTGCAACTATCGAGACCAAACATCAGGAGAGAGATCTTTCCAGATGTTTTCCTGAAATCAGATAAGTAAGTGGATGAGGACAATGAGTTATTGAGGCAAACAGCTTCTTTATCACAAACAGTTCTTATGTCCTATTAACACAAGAACATTGGCAAGCTCTTCAGTTGAAGCATTCCCAAGTTATACAGTAATTGCAGTTGGAGAGAAAAGTTCTCACAAAATTGACCACTTGAAGGGAAGTTCAACAAACCCCTCAAAATCTCTAACAGTGTTAGTATGACCCTACCCCTCCCATAAACAGATATAAAACAGCAACACTTCAATTTCAAGAGGCTTCTCAAACATGCTGACAGCACACAGCTCATGATAGTTTAACATCTAATATGGGTTATTTAAGACGCTCATTTCATGCATGAGAAACAATTTAAAGGGATAGTTCACCCAAAAATGCAGATTCTGCCATCATTGACTCACCATCATGTCGTTCCAAACCTGTATGACTTTTTTTCTTATGGAGAATGTGAAAGAATAAATTCTGAAGGATGTTTTAACTGTTTTTTTTTTTTTTGTTTTTTTGTTTTTGTCTATACAATAATAGACAAACGGGGTCCAAAACCAAATTAGACCCCCTTGACTTTCATTGGATGAACAAAAACCACGAGATATTTTTCAAAATAATATGTTCTGATGAAGAAAGTTATACAGGTTTGGAATGACATGAAGGTGAATAAAAGTATGTATGATAAGTAACATTTTCCCTAACCCGAGGAGCTTTATTGGAGATCCAGCATTGCAAATCTGATAAACTACTAGAGCAAAACTTGCCCCATCTACTTTCAAACAATGGCTTGGTTTTGAAAGATATTGGGCTGTTGGAGATGGTGTAATGTTACAGTTTTGGAAAAGACTCCAAAGGCCATCTTAAAGATAAATGAAGAACAAGAGAATGCTGTGCATTCATGGAATCCCTGGCGCCCATTAAAGGTTAATGAAGGTTTCACATTTCCCAACAGTCTGTTCCAAAACAGCATGTCATTTTCCTCTCCAAAACAATCGGACACTTTATTCCAAGGTCCTGCACAACCTCTTGCCACCCTTGGGAACGGTTATATCACATTTAAGACATATTCATATGGACCTTTGGTCCTTGAGTGTTTTGGCCTAGGGGACAAAGAACGTGGAAAACAAGCAAAAAACACTTAGTGTGTTCACATATCATGTCACACTGAGCAACAAATTAAAAAGGTTTCCATTAACTAGAGATAATGATAAACAGATCTGGGATTTCCTTCTCCGCGCGTGACAGAGACATGGCTTTAGTATCTGCAGATGTCCTGAGCCCCAGCAGAGAAAGTTCTCGTGTTTCCGGTCTTAAACAAACTGTCTCAGGCTGTGGTGACCATGTTTAAAGGCAGATAAGGAGTCCTTCTTATTTACAGATGTCTTTGCTCCCAAAAATAAAAGAATTGTCATCATTTGTCCATACAATGAAACTCATTCTGGTCTGCTGTAGTTTTGGACCCCTTTGACTTTCAATATATGGGCAAAAACAGTTCTTCAGAATATCTTTTTCTTGGGTTTGCAATGACATGAGGGTGAGTAAATGATGACCGAAGTTTCATTTCTTCTGTGAACTAGGCCTTGGGTTGTATACTGGCTGTTTACAGTCACTGTCACTGTGTTGTCTATATTTTAGGTGTACTCCAGATATGGACGTCCATCTCGATATACCCCAAGAGGATTTACTCCCCGTGTAGCCCTGTGCTAAATGCATTACCTTTTTGAGTCTTCCCCTGAGCTGCTATATATTACAGACGAAAATCAATGGAGCCACTTCATTAAATCATTTTACTCAGTCAAACATTTTTACAGATCTTCCTTACTTTATTTGCCTTTGCTTTCAGTTTGTTTTATTGGCTCGATCCTCTTTATTTTTTTTTCTATATATTCTACTCTAGTGCAAGTACCGTAATTTATTCATGTGCCTTTAAACATGCAAGTGCAACATGTATTTTAGTGTCACACAAATTAAGCTGCAGATGTTAAGTGACCACTTTCCTTTGCTAAATAGTAACAGCATACCTCTTTAAAAATCTGACTTTTTATATTAGCATTCATACAGTAGTCTTATTGTAGGTACACTAACATTCAAAAAATTTTAAAAGAATTATCTTATGCTCACAAAAGCCATTTATTTGATAAAATACAGTAAAAATATGAATATTCTGAAACATTATTATAATGTAAAATAACGATTTTATATTTTAAAATATCAGTTATTCCTGTGATGATAAAGCTGAATTTTCATCATCATTACTCCAGTCTTCAGTGTCACGTGATCCTTCAGAAATCATTTTTATATGCTGATTTGGTGCTCAAGAAGAAATATTTTTTTATTATTATCAATGTTGAAAACTGTTGTTAACCCTAACCGCTTAACATTTTTGTAACAAAAACAGCATTTGTTTGAAATAGAAATCTTTGTAACATTATAAATGTCTTTACTGACGCTATTGATCAATGTAATGCATCCTTGCTGAATAAAAGTATTAATTTCTGTCAAAAACTTTTCCAAAATTTTTAACAGTAGTGTGATGTCAACTTATTTTACTAAGCCTAAACCTAACAATAGTCTCCCGAGAGTTAGTTGACATGTAGTTGCAAATTTAGAATGTCTAAAGTGGACTATCGACATAAAGTGTAACCTCAAATTATTCATAATACTTTGTATTGTTTGCCAAGCACATAAATCAGCAATTGCAGCCTTAATTTGTAGAAGATGCTCATCGTATTCTCATGTCGAGGAACACGATGTTGGAGTTTGGTACCAGTCGGCAAGCAAATGTTATTATTGCAAAGTGTCAATCCTCAAAGTATGCGAGTGCTTCATTTTATGACTATAAATGACTATTTATCTTGCAAATGGAGCATTTCAAAGCCATTTTGCAAACCTTGAAACAGTAGTTGTGTGACATTGATGTAATTGACCAAAGTGTGGGAACAAGGCTTGCTCTGTAAACAGTAATGGATTTCAGCACCCCAGTGTACGGGCGACTGGTTTGATTACTTTTGTTGTTTCAGTTGGAAAAGATTCAGCTGAGCCTCAGAGAATTAAAAATTCCTGGTAAAAAAAACAACTGTGTGATCTAAGCAGGGGATAAACCTTCTTCTATTTCACTGATGCGAAGATACAGGATTTTTTTTTTTTTTTTTTTTGTTATTTATTTACATGTGTATCCAGTGCTGGAATGCTTTTTTCCAATAAATAAAACTTATTTTAGAAACAAAAATACTAAATAGATGCATTAACATGGCAACATTCATTATCCAATTGCAAAAAGAAGAAACATCTGTGGATGTTTGTCTCTAAAAGAAAAATAAATGCAATGTGTGTGGTTTCACATTGCATGACTTTCCAGTGATGACATCATTAAATCAAGATGCGTTTTACATCAAAGCAATTGGACTAATGAGAACATTCTCATAACTTTTGATATCTCAGCTTAGCTTTAAGCAGGAAATGACAGAACATCGACGTCATGGAGATGGAGTGGGACGGTGCTAAAAAGACATATTATAACATTTCGCGGCCCTGGATGATGTTGAAAGACGCTCAGCGAGGACCCACGAGACTTACAGTGAATTGCCCATTTGTTGAGCTATGTTTATGGATCATGTGAGTAATATAAACAGAAAGCACGTTTCTCCGCTCCGCGCGCTCTGAGCTGGAGTTGAGTTGGCAACAGGAGTCCACCTGTGTTTAATCACAAAGGCACGATACATGCGACTTCACACCGATCCAGCGCTGTGGACTGACGCTCAAAGTCTAACTGTTACAAGTGGAAGGATGAACTGAGAAGTCGTGCTTCGGACTCCTAAAACTTGCGTGTGGTGAGATAAAGGTGAGTGAAAGGTCATAGATGTGAACTCACCGATGTTTTTCAGAGCGCACGAGCGTTCCAATCCGCGCGCTGCGGGTGACGGGGCTGTGACAGACAGCGCGAGAGAATGAGAGAAATGCTTCATTCCGCTCTTAAATTTTTAAAAGCGTTGTGGAACTCGGCGGGCTGTTGCCATGACTGCAGCGGTGTAGCGTTTCTGCAACCGGTTCCTCAAACTCCACTGCGCGCAAACTGATTGATTCACTTTGAACTTCATTCTGTGGATTGATGTGAACCTGTATGCTTTAAAACCTTCGTTTACGGACATGGTTGTGAGTACACCAAACATTCTAAGGATGTTTTTGTTGCAATATGTCTGATTTGTTTAGTTGTTGTGTTTATTAATGCATGAAATATAGTAAAATGCATGAATATTCAGAGACAGCGAGGCTAGTTGTCACAGGGGAAGTTGTCACAAGGATTTTAGTAACTAATGTTTTCACTGTCAGTGGTTTGGTATGTTGGTTTCAAACACTTAGTTCACTTAATTAGAATAATTAAACTAAACTTAAACAAACATTTTTCCCAGTGAGCATAATAATTTGGGGGCAAGTTGTCACGTTCAATGTTTGTTGAAAAAAGTGTTGATAATTTTGCATTTCAAATTTTGAATATTTTCCAATAATAGATTAATTGTTCAATAGGTTGTTTTGCCAAGCATTTTATGCCTAAGTTATGAATATTTGGTCTGTTTTTTTTTTAAGTCAGTTTATACTAAAATTTAAAATTGCACCTCATTACATTTTTATTTTTATTTTTTTATTAGTGGTGTATAATGTATATGCAGTGAATCAAGACTATTTAATAGTATTACTATGTTAACAAATTATGCTCAGACTATTTGTTTTCCTTTAATAATAATGTCACTTTTTTTTTTGTTCAGGCATACCTATGTTTATAAGATGACACTCAACACACAGAAAGAGGGAAAGGAACCACTGAGGAGAAGAGCGAGCACTCCCATCCCTTCCTCTCGTTTAGCGAGCCGGGGAGATAGAGACCCCTCGGCTGACCCGTATCACCCTCCGCTCGCCCAGTCAGCCTCTTACCACCCAGGAGACAAGAGCATCCACTCACGGGCCGACTGGTCTTCAGACTCAGAGTCGGACAGCTCTGGATCTGAGTCTCTTTATCGTGTGGTTTTGTTGGGGGATCACGGCGTGGGGAAGTCAAGCCTTGCCAACATTTTTGCTGGAATACAAGAGAAGGATGCCCACAAACACATTGGAGGTATACAACCCAAAATACATTATAGTTTTTGTTCATGTCTACATATCTAATCAGTTTAGTTGATTAATTAGGTACAGTTTAATTCCTTCGATTCGTCAACTGAATGTTATTGTATAACCATAAATATAGCATTGACACACTACTGCAAATGGCATTCCAGCACCTAAAATAACCTTGACTAAACTGTTAGGTCTGCCTGATTGATTGCACTCTCAAATTGTCACGCGTCATGATTGATCCTGAAACATTAATTGTATGACGGTATTGATTAATACATCAGTCAGTTCATACAGTACATTGGTTTGTGTAGCAGCTGTTGTCTAGAGCATTACTGCCTGTTTTATGCCTTTAAGCGCAGAATTTAAACTTTGCGGTGGCGTAAACATTACACTTTTATAGCATAAATGTAGAATCATTTCACTTCAGTTTGCTGGAATATGTGCATTTCTTACAATGGGACAACACATGACTGATTTAAAGTCAGCACCGTTGTTTCGTCTGTCCCATTTTCCCAGTCCATCTCAAGGATGTGGGACAATCCCTTTTGTCTGACACAAAACTGGTCCATCAGAGACCTGTGTAACTTAAAACTTAGACAGTTATGACTTTAATATTCACCACACACATTTGTGTCTCCCTAATTCATTGAGCTATGCAAAATCCCTTTATGAAAGCATTAGATGTGCATCTGTTGGCCTTCATGTTGTTGGGTTTTTTTGTCTAATGGCATATGACCCCATGTCTCGTGGCTGTTTTGGCTTTGACGTGTGCAGAACATCATCCTGTAAATAATCATCTCATTGACAGGCGGATGTGTGTATATATCACTGGAGACATATTAGTAGGCTACTCTTCTGCATGACCCTAAAAGTTACAATTTAAAAGAGCTGTTTTCTATTTTAATACTTTTTAATTGCGATTTACTCCTGTTATGCAAAGCTGAATTTTCAGCAGCATCATTACTCCGTCTTCAGTGTCACATGATCCTTCAGAAATCATTCTAATATGCTGATATGCTGCTGAACATTTGTTTGTTTTTTTCAGTTTTAGTTTTTCTTCAGGATTCATTAATGAACTGAAAGTTAAAAAGAACAGCGTTTATATCAAACAGAAATCCTTTGTAACATTACTACATTACTGTCACTTGTGATCGATTGAACGAGTCCTTGCTGAATAGTGTTAATTTCTTTTAAAAAAGGACTGACCAAAAACGTTTGAATATATTATGTTGTTTTATCGTTGATAAGAAGGCATTACAATTTACAAATTCATTTGAGATATACCGGTAAGATGTTACTGTCAGATTTCTATCCCAATGGCTTGCAAAGCTTCTATAAAATCTCTTTGATTCTATCTTAACTGGCTTTCGTTGAGTGACGTGTTTGTTTTGAATGCTTTGTAATTGCACTGCATTAGCATACACCTTAGTTAGCACAGTGTTATCATATCTGTGAAAAATAAAATGTGCATTGGCCCTCATCGTTTGAGGACATTGTTTTCTGTAGGGGATGTCTCGATTATATTTTAGATCTGGCCAAAACATTTAGATTTTAACTGACATGAAGTTCTGAGACATTGAAGTTGATTAAGGACACTGTTATTCTTTACCGTGAATTCAAATGTTGTGCTGTACATCTTTTAGAGGTCTTGAAAAGTGACAGAGTAGATTTAAAGTGGAAAAATGAGACAAGGTCAGTATCAACCTAGACTGGAGCAAAGTGTGTTTTATCTTCTTGTCAAACTAGCTATGTGATCAGTTTATCAGACACGGCTCAATGATTTTTCCACTCTTCCACTTCACATGCATTTTTCACGCTTGTGATTATAACAAAGCACCGTTTAAATGTATCGCACACAAACACATTAATGGCAGCAAATGTTTTTTGGGGTTTTTTTTTAGTGTCCATGATAAAGAAAAGGAAAATATTTTTAAATAACATCATTTTCCTTTTACCTTGTGTACAAAAAATATATATTTTCAAGTTAAAATGTGTTTTTACAAAATCATGCAAAATTAACGTTTTTGAGAAGTCACAGCAAATGACATTTTACAACCTTAACTAATCATACCTTGTCATAAAAAAGTCAAATTATCTGATATGTTGATACATGCAGTCTTAAGGGCCTTTAGGAAAGCTCTCTATGTTTTGTTTTGTTTTCTGTATGTTGGTTGGATCAAATGTCTTTGATTTGTGGCCAACAGTTTTTCAAATATTAATATGCAGTGAAGCACTTTTAAGAAATAGTAGATTATGCCAAACTGGTTTCTTTTTTTAAGAATTTCACCCTTTCTTGTTGTATCAACCATTTTTTTACTTGCTCAAAAACATGCTCATCATAGAAGATATGTATTAAGTAGCTGTATGTGAGTGTTAAAGTTTTTTTTAGGAAAATATAACCATGGTTAAATCATGGTTACTTTACAATAAAGTTCAATTTGTTAACTGTATTAGTTAACACGATCTAATAATGAACAATACTTCTGCAGCATTTATTAACCTTAGTTCATGTGCATTTCAACATTTACTACTACATTTTTAAAATCAAAAGTTGTATTTGTTAATATTAGTTAATGCATGTTCACGTTGTAAACACATGGAGCGCTTCCGAGTTCTACGTCAGAACGCCGGCTCAGTATTGGCTGGATCCTGCATCAGCATCACACGCATGCGTCGTGGTCCTCACGTGAACAGTGTCAGAGACTGACACGGAAGAGAAGGAATTGTTGAATAAAGTTGCTTTTTTTGTTTAGTTTGCGCACAAAAAACATTAACATTAAGGTTGAACCACTGGAGTCACATTGACTATTTCAACAATGTCTTTCCTACCTTTCATGTCCTTGAAAGTGGTAAAAACATTGCTGTGTATAGGGGGGTCAGAAAGCTCTCGAATTTCATAAAAAATATCTTAATTTGTGTTACAAAGATGAACGAAGGTCTTTCTTGTTGGGAACGACGTGAGGGTGGGTGATTAAAGACAGAAATGTATTTGTTTGGTGATCTAACCCTTTAAATGTTAACAAATGAGCCTAGTTGTTTGTTTGTAGCATCTATCCTTAGTTGCCAAAGCTGTTTTGGTTGTCAAATTAATGTCACTGATGTTTTTCTAAACAGATTTAAAATGCAGTTTTGCGTGTTTCTATAGAGGATACATATGAGAAAACCCTTACGGTGGATGAGGAGGAGACGACCCTAGTCGTGATGGACACGTGGGAAAATGAAAAACAGGTATGCAAACTTCATACATCAGTATGTCTTAACATAATCAACCTCATACTCGATGAATTATCAGTTGTAAATAAAGGAAAATCTGAAGGCATTTCATCTTCTGGGGGTTGCATGTGTCAGCCGTGAGTCTGTGTTTGTAGACACAAGTCTCATATACAGGGCCACAATGCCTTTTGTGCAATGCTGTGGAAAAAACATGGCCTCTCACTGCCAGTGGCTAAACTCCATTGAGCGATGGCCTGCAGTGAGCAAGCATCATACAGCTGGCCCCTGCTGCTGCTGCTGCTGACCACACAGACAAGTACACTGATCGCTCTAGGGCCTCATTACACCGCTATTGATGACTCTCCTCTGTGAGGTCTGTCTGGCAACTCCGCTTTGCTGGACTCTACAATTGTTTACAGAGATAATAATTCTGTAAATGTTACAGTCCACAGCATTTCCTCGACACAAAGCTTTGAATTGTTTGTTGTTTATACCTCAGTACATGTTCAAGTGTTTAAAGGGATCCTAAAATGAAAACTCTGTCATTGTTTAATTGCCCTCATGTCATTCTCTTTCACTTTCTTTCAATATGATGAAGATGAATGAGGACTGGAATTGTGAAGCTGCAAAATTACACCAAAAAAAAAAAGCAACATTAAAACATCATAGTGCTCCAGCTATCATTTTAAGTCCATTAAAGCGGACTGTGTTTACACTACTGTTCAAAATATTTTTTGAGTAACTATTTTATGCTCACTAAGGCTGAAATTATACAAATACTTTTATTTTAATAAAATGACATTCATTCCTGTGATGCGAAGCTGAAATTTCAGCATCATTACTCCAGTCTTCAGTGTCACATAATCCTTCAGAAATCTTTTTGATATGTTGATTTAGTGCTCAAGAAATCAATATTGAAATCAGTTGTGCTGCTTACTATTTTTGGGGAGACTATTTTTGTGGATTTTTTTTTTTTTTTCAGAATTCTTAATAGAAAGGTCAAAAGAACAGCAGTTGTTTGAAATATTTTTTTGTAACATTATAAATGTGTTTACTATCACCGTTGTAAAGTTTAATAAAAAAAATATCGTAGTGACTCTATATTGATATATCTTGACATATATTGTCTTATGAACCTCTTTTATTATACGCTATTATAAGCTTGAAAGACTCTATTCATTGTCGTAAAAATGTTTTCAGTAAAAAAAACTTTTGTGTTCCATTATAGAAAGTTACAGGTTTTGAACCACATGAGGGTGAGTAAATATTGATCATTTTATTCTACTATCCTTTCAAAAGTGTTAATTTTTTGATCCCCCAGGAGGAAGATGAGAAGTGGGTGCAGGATTACTGCATGCAGGTGGGGAATGCTTACATCATTGTTTACTCCATCACCGACCGCAGCAGCTTTGAGAGCGCATCGGAGTTACGAATCCAGCTGCGGCGCATCCGACAGGCTGAAAACATTCCCATCATCCTTGTGGGAAACAAAAGTGACTTAGTGCGCTCTCGAGAGGTGGCAGTGGAAGGTGAGAACTGTTTTGATTTGTATCATTCGCACAGACACATCATAGTGGGATGTTATGCACTACTGTTCAAAAGTTTGAGAAGGTAAGGGTTTTTTTTTTTTGAAGAAATTAATACTTTTATTCAGCGAGGATGCAATAAATCCATCAAAAGTGACAGTGGCATTTATAATGTTACAAAGGTTTTCTATTTCAAATAAATGCTGTTCATTTGAACTTCTATTCATCAAAGAATTAAAAAAAAAAAAATTATGATGGTTTCCCTAAAAATATTAAGCAGCACAAATTTTTTTCAACATGGATAATAATAAGAAATATTTATTGAGCACCAAATCAGCATATTATAATGATTTCTGAAGGATCATGTGACACTGAAGACTGGAGTAATGATGCTGAAAAAACAGCTTTGCATCACAGGAAAAATTAGATTTTAAAAATATTAAAATAGAAAAAAGTTATTTTCACAATAACACTCTTTTTAATGTATTTTAATATATGTGCAGCCTTGGTTATCATAAGAGACCTTTTTTCAAAAACATCAAAATCTTACCATCCCCAAACTTTTGTACGGTAGTGTGTGTCACAGTAGCTACGTTTACATGGACACGTTTTGTTTCAATCGGAATGAAATCATTACGATTAATGAATCCGATCATAGTGTTTACATGAACACCAAATAAAGTGATCAGGTTAATGTGAGCTTTTTTATGTCACAAGCTTCAAATCGGATTTTTTTTAATCTTTTGACACGCACACACTGCATGGATATACAGAGTTTCCCGCTGTTGGCACATACTAACCATTATCCTGCTATCGCTTCTTTTCTTTGTTTTAAAATGCAGACTTAATATTTATCTATTTCGGGTCCTGATTAGGAGACGACGAGCACATGAAGTGCTGCTTATATTTATTAAGCAGTAAAATGCCCCTTGCTGCGGCCAAAACAAAGGTGTCTGTGGATGAGAGTCCGAAGCAAGGACTGCTGGTACGACATTCCCTGCAGCACTTCACAGACGATAAGTGGAATAAGAATTTTAGAATTACACTATTCACCAACAACAGCTCGTTCCGTACATCGTGTGTCATTATGACATTTCTACTTCATTGCACATGCAGAACTTTTCTGTGTTGGTTTTCAATCGAGTTAACATGTCCTATCAAACGGATTAGAAAAGGTGTAATCCGCCCCTTATAATACGAAATAAATTTGTATTTGGCCAAATCATTCCGATTGATGTGGTTACATGTGACTTTTTCTATTCCGACTGTGCAACTAGTCTGATTACATAACGGATTATTAGGGTCCATGTAAATGCAGCTTTAGTATATCCCCTGAAGCACAATTGTTTGACATGGTGCAGATTCACATGCCTTAAATGAATAGTTCACCCAAAAATGACAATTATCCCATAATTTACTCACCCTCAAGTCATCCGAGGTGTATATGACTTTCTTCTTTCAGCTGAACACAATCAGAGTTATATTAAAATAATATCCTTCTCAGCTTTACAACGGCATTTTTATAGTGTTTAAAGCTCCAAAAAGCGCATACATCCTTCATAAACTATAATCCCTGGCTTCTGGCAACGGCCGTACGTGCGTTAAAGAGAGAGTTCAGGCGGAAGAGTGACCTCTGACCCGACTTATGACGTAGCTCCTCTTCTCTTACATCGAAATCCTCTGGCATTTTTCTTTAAGACTTCTTCTCATTTTAGACTTCTAATTCATGACGGGCGTTTTGTTTTGCTCTATCCTCTACGCCATGCATCGGGTCAAAGATCACCCTTCCACTGGAACTCGATTCTCTCGTGAACGGGCTTACGGCCGTTGCCGGAAGCCAGTGATTATAGTTTGTAAAGTTTTAAATATGGATATTTTTTCTTACAAAGACCCATCGCTTCACTTCAGAAGGCCTTTATTATCTTTTTGGAGCTTCAAAAACTCCGGCACTATTCAATGCCATAGCAAAGCTGGGAAACTCAGTTGGATATTATTTAATATAACTCTGATTGTGTTTGGCTGAAAGAAGAAAGTCATATACACCTAAGATGGCTTGAGGTTGAGTAAATTATAGGATCATTTTCACTTTTGGGTGAACTGTTCCTTTAAGGCCTGCTGTGATGTGATGTACTGCAATAAGTATTATGGGGTCAATCTAAGGATCTCACACAACCCTGGTCTTCTTCGGCAGAGGGTCGGGCTTGTGCCGTAGTGTTCGACTGCAAGTTCATAGAAACCTCCGCCTCCCTCCACCACAATGTTCATGAGCTCTTTGAGGGCATTGTGAGGCAGATCCGACTGCGGCGAGACAGCAAAGAGATCAATGAGCGCCGACGCTCTGTCTACAAGCGAAAAGAGAGCATCACCAAGAAGGCCAGACGCTTCCTGGATCGACTGGCGGCCAAGAACAACAAGAAGATGGCCATGAAAGTGCGCTCTAAGTCCTGCCATGACCTCGCAGTGCTCTGAACCCACAGATCCCTCTCATTCCTTGAACTTTCATTTTTATATTCGAAAAGAGGATTTGACTTTCTGACAAGTCCACTTTTGAAGCTGAACATTAATTCACATTTTTAGTTTGTTTATTCATTCATTCAAGTCAAACTATTGTATTAACCTTTTTTACTTATTCCCCCGAAGACCTATAGATCAAATGTTTGATAGGCGTTTGAATTAGACCAAAGGTTTATTACTGTATATCACCAATTAAGTGGACTTTTTTTTTAATGAACATTTTATCAATGTTTGCCTTATCAGACTGAATAGACAATAGTTAGAAATAATTAACAAGCAATATTTATTATTCATTGTTTTTCTTTTTATTTTTTTTCTTATAAAATTAATAATTCACCTTGTTGTTTTTTTTAACAAAGGATGTATTTTGTATACACTGAAAGTCATTTGCTATGAGATGGGCACAGCCCATTGGAGAAGTTAAAGGAGAGACAGCTGAGCCCAATGGGGTTTTTTTTCTAATAAAGCAAAATCATCATTTAAAAAGGGCATGTGAATATCCTCCACGAGCCTTTTTACAGTTTATTTGAATGAGGTAGTTGGTCAGTAAACTCAGTTGGTCAGTAAACAATAAAGGTGTCAGATATTTTACGAGAATTTATTATAACAACAAAAATTATGGTTTACAGGCTATCTAAATGTTTTCTTGTTTTTGTTTTTTTGCACTGGACGGGAAAATGTTTTTGTACAACTTGATGTTGCTGGTTTGTAAATATTTATTTTCCAAAATTTGTATAATAATAAATGGCTTTGAAATATGTAAATACAGTTATGCTTTGGATTATTAAATCCCAATCTGTGTTTTGAGGTTCTGCTTTTTTCAAATACCTCCCAGTCTGTCTTTCAGAATAACACGAATTGTCATATTTTATTGTCATAAGTCTGCCATTCTTAATCCTCTTCAACGTTTTAAATTGACTAAAAAAAGTTTCTTGTGTATTGTTTCATCCATAAGGTGCACTAGTGGTCATAAGTATTTGGTCACGTTCCGTAGCCTCACCTTGAACCTGCCACTATTATTATTGAGAGAAGGGTTCAGATATCCATATTTAAGTGGGTGCCATCCTGAACACCCCCATATTATCATTGTTTTCAGATACAGTCGAGGGGCTCAGAGGGCTTGTCTACAACAAGATGGAAACAATCAGTGAAATCCAATCACTGGAACAATGTTGAGAAAGGACCACAATGAAATGCCACGGTCAGTGCCTCTGTATGATGACACTTCAGTGCTCCACATAAAGCTCTTAAGCAGATTACTTCTCTCAAATGCTAATTTTCAGAGTTTGTTTGGTGGATGGGTCATATATGAGGTCAAATATATTCCAAACATAAAAGCAATGCAACTGAAAACCATCATGCCTCATTGATAATCCATACTCAATGTTAATGCATGAGAAGAGCATTGCATTGCCTGCAGATTTCCTTTAATAATTGTCCATGAAAGTTGATTGAGGGATTCTGCATGCATGGTATTATTTTGAAATTATTTTATTTTTACTGAGACAAAAAAAAAGATAGATTGATATAGATAAAAGTGTCTCCAAAACCAAAGTCATTCTTTGCAATCTGTGTTCTGCAAGCCCCAAATTCAGCACCCATATGACCAAGAATGTAATTTTACACAAAGACGTCAAGGTCAAGTTTGTGGATGGTGGATTTCCCAGATAAGCCTTGTGGATAAAGTTACAATTGAGGGTCTCCAATGCAACAACAACAAAAAAAGTTTACTCTTGGACTAGATTTGATTTGTATCCTTCTTCCCATAAAGATATTTCTCCAACAGTTGTGTAAAACAGTTACTGTTGTTTTATACTTTGACCCATATACTTAAAAAGCTAGTTCACCCAAGAATGAAAATGTTGTCATAATTTACTTGCCCTCATGTCGTTCCAAACCTGTTTTCAATTCTTTCTTCTGTTGAAGAAAAAATATATATATCCTCCTGGGACCCAAGAATAGACTTTTGTCCACTGTAGTGGACATTATATTTTAGTTAATTTCTCTGACATCATACATGTCACATGACACAACCTGGGTGTCCTGTAAAGAGCACATTCAGGACTTTTGAGAGATACCAAATGTTTGGAGGTTTCACCATGAAAACAACTTCTCCTTGGTCTTTAAAAATGTCTGACATTAAATTAGTGATCAAATGTAGCATTCTTATGGAAATATGATAATATATTGTAATTATATTTAAATTGGACTACTTTTTCAAATTGTATTTCATAAAACAACATCTCAGGAAAATGTTAAGGGGTTTCAAATAAAAAAATTACTTTCTGTTACAGAACAGGGCATTGATTTCAAACGTGTCCACTGTAGAGGACATCAGGACTAAAATCATGTTTATCAGGCATTCTGGGAGACACAACAAGTGAATATGGAAATAAATTATACATCAATATTCCTATGAAATATTAGATATTATTATTAAAATGTTGCCAATTATTACTCCAATTATTACACTTATTTTTTCATTAAATGTTGCTCCAAGAACACATTAATGTGCAAATTAGATACAGTGTGTAGATACATTGCATTGAATGGGAATATTAATTTATGGCCATTTTACCCACATATTGCAAAAAGTAAAATGGTGTATCAATTCATTCCATTATTTCTTTCATAACATAGTTGAGAATAATCTTTATACAAATTTTGGTTGATAAAATCCTGAAACCCCAAAATTTATTGGTGATTGAAAAAAAATCCCATTGCTTTTGCCTATACATATAATTTCATGTCATTTTATTTTTTAAACAACTTAGTCCTGGCGTCCACTACAGAGGACATAGCATAACGTATGAATAAAATATTATTTTATATATGTGTTTTTTTACCATTTGTTTATTGGGCTCTAAACAGTGTGATGACATGGAAAAAAACTAAATTCAAAAAACTTTTTTTTTCTGGGTCTCAGGAGGATATATTTTGAAAAATATTAACAAAAATACAATGGAAGTCAATAGGAACCGAAACTTTTGGTTCCTCAACATTATTCAAAATGTATTATTATGTGTTCAGCAGAAGAAAGATATGCATACAGGTTTATAATGACATGAGGGTGAGTCAATGATGACAGAATTTTCATGTTTGGGTGAGCATAGACTTGTGATGCTCCCTTGACCATGCGGTTGAGTATTTTATCCATGCATGTGGCAACCACTGCTCAGCTTCAGGAAAAGAAGCAGGAGGCCAGAACTGCAATTAGGCCAGTGTGCTGTGCCTGGGTCAGCTCTTTCCACTGGCCCCCTTGTCACCACTGGAGTGGGGGAGGGGACGTGGCGTTCTGGCTGGGACCTCAGTGCATTGATTTGGTCTGGGTAATGGAAAGAATGCTCCACTCCACACTCAACCTTTCCCCCTGCTAATACAGCCTACACATTACACATGCAGATCACACGCAAATAGACATCTTTTGTTGTGAATGTAGGATTTTTTGCTCATATAGTCATGCACATGAAACTTACCAACATTTGGTGCCTTCTTCAGTTTAGATATATACCAAACTCTAAGCTGCTTTGAACTATGATTCATCTCCCAAGCTTTTTTACAAAGTCACAATTAACTACCCAGCAGGTATGTTTGTGGTTGAAACACATGAAAGGCTGTTTCTGCCTTTCATAACAAGTGGAAGTTTTCTCCAAATACCAAAAATAACTGTGCATTAAGCGTCTGACGGGAGATTAAAGGGGACTCATTCACCAGAGCCATGCAGTAAAAAACGAACAACACAACAGGGAAAGAGAGAGGGAGAGCAGAATGGAAAAAGTGAATAAGGCCAGGGAGGTGGCAGTGCATACAGGAAGACGAATGGTCCAGCACCGGTCGCACTGACTGGTTCTTGTAACGTGTCAAGAATCTGGCGTCCTCCAGATGTGTGTCATGTTCATGCTGTGGAAAGCCTCTGGAGAGATTTACATTTGGCTGCACTCTGCCTCACTGTGAGCGCGGCCGGGGAGAGAGAGCTAATTACGGAAAGTTGGCAGCCAGCAGAACATCAAGCAAGCTGTGGTGAGAGTCAATGGAAAGAATGAGATTAAACCAAGAAAAATGTGGGGTCATATTTTTTCTTTTTTTTTCTTTTTTTTACTCAAAGATGAGTAATGAATTTGTTACTTTCTATTTTTCATTGTATAGGTCTACTTCTTGTAGTAAATTTGTGTACTGTTCTGGTTCACTGTCTGACTATGTCTCAGAGGTATGGTCGTAACACTTTACAATAAGGTTTCATAAGTAAATATAGTGAACTACTTCAGTTAACATTAACATGAACTATAGAATGAACATACTTCGCCAGCATTTATTAATCTTTGTTAATGTTCATTTCAACATTTACTAATACATTAAATACAAGTTGTATTTGTTAAAGTCCCTTAGCGAAGAAAATCAAGTTTTTAATGTTGTTTATCTATGTGGTATTTTTAATATGCTTTAAGACAAACCATGTGCAAATTCATAAGTCAACACCATTGCGAAGTATTTTCTCCTTAAAACTGCAGTGAACCTAAAAAGGCGGTTTGAAATCGCTGGTGTTTCTGACGTCACAGACTAACCAATGTGTGATAGTCACCAAGTGAATCTCTGAGCTGGTGTGAGTGAGTGGAGGTGGGGCTAATTTGCATATATTAATAGAACCACTAAATTAGGCAAAGGTATAGAGTTACATTCAGGCTATTTTAAGGCACAAAGAATTTTTTTCAAGAAAATAAGGTTCATTAGTTAACTACATTAGTTAGCATGAACTAATAATGAACTGCACTTATAAAGCATTTATTAATCTTTGTTAATGTTAATTTCATCATTTATGAATACTTTATTAAAATCTTGCTCACATTAGTTAAAGCACTTTGAACTAACATGAACAAACAATGAACAGTTTTTATTTTTATTAACTTACATTAACAAAGTTTAACAAATACAGTAACAAATGTATTGCCCATGGTTAGTTAATGTTAGTTAATACATTAACTAATGAACCTTATTGTAAAGTGTTACCAAATGTTTTGCTCATTTTTAGTTCATGTTATTAGTTCATGTTAGTTAATACATTAACTAAAATGAGACCTTATAGTAAAGTGTGTTGTAAAATAGTCAACTGAGTGAAACAGACTTGAAAGCCTGAGGGAGGAAAAGAGCAGCCGTTTCCCCTCCTGTTAATTTTAATGTTCTAATCTATAGGGATTTTTTTTTTTTTTTTTTTTTTTTTTTTATAATACTAAGTCATTGTTTGTATTTTCTTTTTTTGTACCCCCACACTTCCTTTGTGGTTTGGTGCCATAAAGATCACATTATTCCAGACTCTTGGTGGTCTATCTCTCTATCCATCCATCCATCCATCCATCCATCCATCCATCCATCCATCCATCTATCTATCTATCTATCTATCTATCTATCTATCTATCTATCTATCTATCTATCTATCTATCTATCTATCTATCTATCTGTCTATATCTGTCTGTCTGTCTGTCTATCTATCTGTCTATCTATCTGTCTGTCTATCAGGCAGGCAGGATATAAACATAAACAAACAGACAGACAGACAGACAGACAGATAGATAGATAGATAGATAGATAGATAGATAGATAGATAGATAGATAGATAGATAGATAGATAGATAGATAGATAGATAGATAGATAGATAGATAGATAGATAGATAGATAGATAGATAGATAGATAGATAGATAGATAGATAGATAGATACTACTCGTACTACGATTACCATATATTCTATGGAAGAAATAGTAAGAACTTAGGCTATGTGGTTTCGAATTCAGCAAATGACTATTCTTCATTAAAATTCATTTTTATTAAAGTTTCCATATGCCAAATTGAGACTGAACGTGTGGGGCTGGGCCTGGGGGTAAGGTGTTGTAACTAAAATTAAAACGAAAGTTTCAGGGTGTGTCTGTGTGTGTGTGTGTGTGTGCGTGTAACAATGTCACTTTGCCGTATTTCCTGTTCACACTTCCGTTGTCAGTGTGTATAACACGAGTTCCCCCTGGTGGACAGTTCGGCGCATCTCCCCTTATGCAACAAGAACGAGACGTGTACGCGCAGTAGCTGTTTGCCGCCAGTCAGCTTGTCGTTTATAGCCGCAGCACGCGCCTTGTGACTAGTATTAGTTGAAACGATAACGTTTTGGATTAATACCGTTGTGTTTTTTAGGTTTGTGTGGATTCGTGTTAAACGCCTGGGGTTTGCAACTGTAGCCGGAGCCGACCGTAGATCCGGGTTTTAGCGCTCGTTTGTGGAGTCAGGATTGTAAAGCTCTGTAGGCCGCAGTGTCTAAGGTAAGACGGAAAGGCTAATATCTATTTACGGTTTTGATCTATTTATAAGAACAATCTGACCAATTTCAACTTGTTATGTGTCATATGATGATCTCATTGATATTAATTGTATTTAATTCGTGTATTTGTGACGTTTATGGTGGGTAATTTCCGCATGTTGGCATAAACAACGACTTTAGCCAGATAGCTAACAAGCTAACAAAGCAATTTTAAAAATCCTCTACCGATAATACGAGTTATGTGGACAAAAAATATCCAAACGTACATACAAGTCCGTTATATGTGCTTATTTTGTCTAAATGTGTCCAAATTTTGATAAATAACAAGTCAGTTCGTGATTGTATGTGAGAGAAACGTTTCATTACCTGTCCACGTCTAGTCACGCATGTCCGCAAGTCAGAAATGTACAGTACGAGTGTAAAAATGCTATTTTAACACAGAAGGTAGATATATAGCCTATGTGTTATAATTTAGAATAAGATTTTTAAGTTTAACATTATTACGCCACTTAAAATACAATTTTCCTCGCCTACAGATCAACAACAACAACATGGCCGATGATTTGGACATCGAAGCAATGCTCGAGGCTCCATATAAAAAGGTGGGTGTTAATGCAAGTAAATAAGCTCGCTCAGGAATCTGTTTAACTTTCATTTGAAACTGCTAACCAGTCGTGTTTTCGTTAAGACTTTATTGTCAGATCAATAACTTTAATGTTTCTGTCATAGTGGTTTCAATGAATAAATTGCCCATCTATCTCTTTTTGTAGACTTGCCTATATCTCACCTCTACTCCCATGAATTCCAGTGTGAACTGTCAAAAAAATGAAGGTAGTAATTGCCCAATATATTGATGTACTGTGGTACCCTTGGTTGAAATACATAGGCAAAATGATACATAGGTACCGCCAGAATAAATGCAGTGGATTCACATAAGAGCTGGTATGAACTCTGTGGAGACTGTATTCATGTTATTGTTTGCATGATATTCTTAGCTCCATATTTTGTCGTAAGGAAGTTTTCTTCCAAAATGGCTAGAACGAGATTAAATGTTTTACCATATAAATATATGGCAGGTAACCACTAAAAATAAATTGGCCTAAAATGTCATAATCCTTAGTGCAGAAATCCTGGAGTTGACATACCCAAGCAAATCCACAGAGTCTCCTTAATTCTCTGTTCATCGCTTTGAAAATAAACCAAGATAAATATACTGTAGTGTAAATGTCATCTGTTTTAGTGAAAAAATGTTTATGCATGCTGCTAACATTTAGAAATACTTATAAATTGTTATTCTGCGGTTTTACAAACAGGAATTGATGGGGCTCAGCATATAATGTCATAACGTTCACCATAAAATACATTTATCTTGTAAACTATCTACAACAAAAGATCAACTCAACTATAGATGGTCTGTGGGAGTCGCTATTACTAAGCCGTGTGAATCCCTGTTTGCTTCAGGGCGAGATGTGTGACTGAGGTGGCATCGAGCTCTTTCAATCCACGAAGGCAAATGGGGTGAAGATCACTGGAATGGCATCCACCACTGGAGCTCGTTTAGTGGCTGGCTGCTTGCGTTGCCACTTTGGGTCTTAGGCTCAGATAGCCTTGGTACTGAACCTGTTGGGCTGCTTAATGAATGAAGTGTCTAAAAAAATGCTTTTTTACATACCCAGCATAGCATTAGCACTTGATTGATTTATTTTTTTATTAATTTTTTGGACGTTTTACACAAGTAATGCAAGCACTAGTAAGGAAGAACGACATTGGCAGCCATGTGGTTGGTTTCTTTCTAAAGGTCCCCCTTGTATTTATCGTCTTCCCACACAAACCCTGTAATGAACTCCTATTTAATGATCATATCATATTCTCTTTTGTTCCCATCCCTTCTTTATCCTTACGACTTGAAATGTTTCGCCGTCCTCCTCATGCTGTCTTCTATCGACCCTGCTTAGGATGACATCAAGTCCATAAGTACCAATGGCCACGAGGAGCGGAGCAAGAAGTGAGTTTTTCAATTTTCCTAACCATTTTACTTTCTTGCAAAACGCTCTTTCAATATTTTACTAACTGAACTTAACCTTTAAATTGAAAGAAAAAAGAAGAGCAAGAGTCGCAGCAGGAGCCGGGAGAAGAAGAGAAGCAAGAGTCGCGACCGCAAGAAGAGTCATGACCACAGGAGGAGCCGCAGCAGAGAGCGGAAGCGCAGCCGCAGCAGGGAGAGACGCCGCAGCCGATCCAGGAGCAGGGAGCGTGGCGGGCGCTACAGAGCTCCGTTGTACGTAGTTGTACATCTTTTAGTCTTTCTTTCAAGTGGCTACACACCTCAGATATAGTGCTCTTTAAATGTGTCTTTTTACTATAGCGAGCATGTTAACCTGAAGTAAAAGCCTCTCGCAGTGCTCCTGATTAGGGTTGGGTATCGGTTGGGTTTTATCCGATACCAGTACCTACTCTGTATTTTTGAAACGGTACTTAAGAAAACGAAACCGCACACACTTTGTCAAAAAATAATACCCCTTTATTTACAGGGCCTAACTGGACACAATATTAACTTACATCTTTAAACAATATAAATACAAGTAACATATGGTAATAATAAATAAACCAATTTAAAATAAAAATTCACATTACTTAATATCAAATAAAACAATATTGTATCAAACAATGTAATAATACTGGAGATAAACAGATATTACTACCTGGGTAATCTAATATCGACATGGCTCCAGGTTCCCATGTTTTGTCTGCTTGAACCAGTCATGTAAGTTATCTGATCATTGTACTAATTACTAGAGGTCGACCGATAGTGGATTTTACCGATATCTAGGTTTGACCGTACATGCCGATAACCGATAATTCAACCGATATTTTTTTTAATGGATACTGGATTAAAAACAAACATCATACTCACAATAAAACAGTGCTAAACTGAAATGTGCTCAATTAAATAAATAAATATTAATATATTAACTTTATACAGAAAATAATTTAAACATTAAAATATTACAGGTTTCGTTAGCTATAACCTAGAAACATACGTACATTTCATAGGTAACACTTTGCAAGTCCCATTTGTAAACAAGGATGTATTAACTAGCTTTCATGAACTATATGCATAATGCAATATACCTTTTTACTGCATGTATTAATATGAGCAATACAATTGTACCTTTATCATTCGTGTTAGTTCATTCACAGTACATTAACTAAGTTAATAAAAGATAAAATAAGAATTAAAACTCAATTTCAAATGCATTAGTAAATGTTGAAATTAACAAACTACCGTAACAATGAATAATTCTTCTACAACTTGTATTAACCTTATTTAATGCTAAAAATGCAATGTTATTGTAAAGTGTTACCCTTTCATATGATTCCAAAGAGTCGTGCTTAAAGATGGCCATTAAAATGTAATAAAGACCTGTATTATGTATACGTAATATAGCCTATAGTCTCTCACTTTATTTGCTTCTATATTTTAGAACACTTGATGATTATCTAATCAAAATAACAAGATCTATTGAAGTGATTAAAAAGATCTTAAAATCGAACGCGTTTCTGATTAGTTTAGTTTATCAATGTTGAGAAAGCAATCACGTCACTAGTTTTAAATATGCAACTTCGTCGGCTAATGAATGCATAAAAATGACCAGCCGGATAAAAATAATGCAAATAGATGGTAACAATTGCGCCATAAAACATTTGGGTCAGGTCTGCGTGTGTTTTTGTCACATATATGGTTGACTGAGGTAATGTTAGAGTCCTCACAGCCTCGACGGCAAACAACTGTTCTTTCTCTGCTGATGCAGCATCTAGTCAACAAATGAATTAATTTGTAATGATATGGCAATATGTAGCTACTTTAGTGTTATGTATTCATACCGTTTTGCTGTCGGTGTTTTAAATGTCAGCGCTCTCGCTGCGTGTTCTCTCCGTGCTGCGCGCTGCCTCACGTGTTAACGTAAACAACTCAGCCAGTGATAGTTTGTTATTTGTCCTCTAGAGGCCGCTCTCACTCTGTATAATGCCAGCAGTCTCTTCTGTTCTGAGCGCTCTCGTGCTGTGTAATGACCGCGCGCACTTCTCAGCCGCTCCAGCAACGGACGTAACCCGGAAAAACTAGGGATGGCCCGATACCATTTTTTTTTCAAACCGATACGAGTACGAGTATTTACACTTGTGTACTTGCCGATACCGAGTACCGATACCGATATTTCTACCGCAAAAGTAAAAGGCTCCCAGAAAAGAAGACGACTATTTTAGAACACAGGTCAGAAGACTGTTTTTATTTTCTTCTCTGCTTGTTTTAACAAGTCAAAAAAAAAAAAAAAAAAGTAAAATAATAAATGTATTAACTAGAGGTGGGCATAGATTCATTTTTTTTATCTAGATTAATATTGAAATTAATCTAGATTAATCTAGATTAAAATGGCTCATTTGAATTCTCCCGAAGGCATTCAGAATATGTGTGCTACCCAAATAATGACTAAAAGTAAGTCTTTGAGAATAGTTTGCCTCGCGTAGGGATGTGCATTTCTGCCAAGAATGCCATTCGACAATCGAGGAGCAAAAGTCAAATATCATTTAAAAAAAAAAACAAAAAAAAACGCAATGACAGAAAGGGAGGCCAATTTCATCTTTAGCGATTTGTCATCAAACAAACTGTTTATTAATTGAACAAGTAACATGTTTTCGTCCTTTTTTTTAACATAGTAGGCTAATTGGAAGAAGAAGAAAAAACAATAGCCTACGCACGACAGTCCGTTTTTGCATCGCCAATGCTCGTTAGATCAAAAAATAATGTCATCATATGTCATAAGAATTTTATGTGAACCTGCCTTGTTACTGCAATAGCCTCATTTTTAAACAAATTAGTTTCAATCAATGTAAACTATTCGTGTGATTATGCCACTGCGCAATACACGCGCAATACACACACAATGTATTACCTGAATGAAATGAAATCGAATGTGTCGTCCTGTGGAATCATTCATTCACAGACAGCTTACGAAGATGTTCAACTAATAAAGATCTTCATCGCTGGCAAAAATATGATGCATTTGCAGATTTGCATTCACTAGACTATAGACTGTAGATCGGCCACTTCATCCAACGCTCTGATGCTCTTAAATCTTCCTGTTTCGACTCCGAGTGTGAATTGAAAGCGCTTCAGACGATTTAGTGCGCGAGGAACTGAACAGATCAACTGATTCGCGAACCGATTTAGACAGATCATCTGACAACTTGTTTGATGAAGTCTTTGAACAGAATCGACTCAAAAGAGTGATTCATTTGTAAATGAGCATCGCTCATGCCCATACAAAGGACACAGCGCGCTTGGAATAAACTCATTTAACAACGTATTGCATTAAAATAAAGTAACGAGAGGAACGTCGCCCAACGTAACAAAGTAAAAGTACACCTTGTGTCCCTGACAGGAAAATACCCTACTGCGCGATCTGTGACAGTATAGGCGCGGCGTCATACTACACATTAGAATTGCGCGAAAATATAACGATATTCGAAAAAGCTGTTTATGATCCCAACCCAACTTTGATTAACGGCGATATTTTTTTTATCGCCCGATAAGAGTCTCACGTTAACGCAGCACGTTAACGCCGATAACGGCCCAGCACTAGTATTAACACACAAACCACTGTTAATTTAACATAAAAGCAAGCAGGCTACTGCGTGCATGGGCATGACTGAATGCACGCAAAGTGCGCACCCTTAATAAATCCTAAAAGCTGACAGTTCATCGCGATCTCGCACATCTCTGTTATTATCAATGAAGCTGACTGCACAATCAATCTTTCATAATATCCACACTTTGTTTGTTATAATTAGAGGATTTGCCAGCATACAGAATTCAGCACTGAATTTCAGTCCGTTTTGAGCAGTGAGGGGAGTCTATCTTAAATGCTTCTGATTGGCCATTGCGTTCAAGAAATCAACACATATGTCTGTGATTGGCTACATCACTCAACGCTGTAACCATGTTATGAATAGAAACTCTGGCCTGTAAATCATTTCTATTTTGTTGTAGTTGTTCTTGTTGCTTTTCTGCAAGAGATGAATAAAAATCTATTAGTTTTTATGTTTTATTCATAGATATTTCTAGTTTGCAGGAGTCCCGCAAATCGTTTTATTCTCCCGCACCCGCACACACAGAGTGAGTGCATTACCGCCCGCGCGCGCGCTCGGCCATCAGATCTATGATGCGTCTTCAGATGTTTAATTAGATTGCTGGTGTTAAACGATGTACTTTCTTTCCCTCCTCTCGACACCTTAGCTGAACATAACTCACAGTCTGCCTTGCTGTTGTCATCATCCCTTATCTTGAAATGAGCCCTAACCGCCGACATTATAGGCTACTTTCCTATGCCTCAGTTCACCACGACAAAGCTCTCGCTGCGGCCAGTTTCGTTTTGCAAAATGTACGTGGTATCGGTGCGTGGTATCGGCGAATTTTTATGAGTACGAGTATATGAGGACAGTATCGGCCCGATCCCCGATGCCAGTATCGGTATCGGGCCATCCCTAGGAAAAACTATCGGTGTGGATTTTTGCCGATAACGATAGTTCCACCAAACAACTATCGGTGCCGATTAATCGGCAAAACCGATGAATCGGTCGACCTCTACTAATTACGCAGCGCTTAGCTTGGCAAGTTTGGTATTTCGTTCCCACTGCGTCTTAGCTACGCAGCTTTGAGTAAACTTATGAAAGAGAACGTCTCTGGTTACCCATGTTCTCTGAATAGGGAACGAGACGCTGCGTTCACTGCCAAACTCCTCGCGCTGCCAACAAGCTTCCTTTTTCGGCAGAGAAATCTGAGGAGCAGATGATGTGCGCGCTAATATAATACGATGACGTGAGCGTCAAGGCGGCGGCCGCGCCATCAGCCAATGGATTGGAGTGAATCTTGATTCTATATGGGCTTCAGACAATCGTTCTGACGCGTAATTTTACACGTGAAATGCAGCCAAACCTTGGAGCGTTTTGTCTTCGCCATCTTCAATAATCCCCTCGCTATCAGCAGACGTTCCGGGAGTCTCCCGCATATTGATAACGGCTGCCTGATGCCCGCAAATTAGTTTAAATCTCCCGGAACGCTTGAGCGAGCGAGCAAAAGCGCGCATGCGAGACAGTTCAGACAGTGCTCCAATAAACCGTATAGTGCGTGCACGGCGGAGAGAGAGAGCGAAAGACTTTGCGTGTATGCGCCTAATGCCACAGAGACTCAGGCACCGAATTTTTTTGTGTGTTTACAACATTTACCCTTGTGTCCCATTGAAGCTTGCAGTATGTATTTAGAACTTGTAGTAGAGCGATTAATTGTAGCTACTGAAATTAAAAACCCTGAAAACCTTTTTTAAATTGCAGTTCTGGCCTGAAATTTAACGGTGGTCCCAGAGGGAAGACTGGCCCACCTCCTGCCATCAAACTAAGGTTTCTATGATACTATTTTTGTGATGTGTGGGTAGTTGCTTGTTCTGTGTTTGAGTCAGACGTGGAAAGTCTTTCCAAAAGTACTCACTGAAATTCTCTCTCAGTCGTAGAAGGTCTAGGAGCCGCAGTCCATTCAAGAAAGACAAAAGCCCTATAAGGTAAGTTTATTTCACCCTTGAAAATGACATTTCCCCCTACTAAATTCTTTGCTGGTTATAGTCATTCACTGCCTGTTTGTTTTGTCTTTTGCTAACAGACAGCCTATTGATAATCTCACCCCTGAGGAAAGGGATGCGCGCACAGTGTTCTGCATGCAGCTGGCAGCTAGAATCCGACCACGAGACCTGGAGGAATTCTTTTCTGCAGTGGGAAAAGTCTGTGTTTGTTTATCTATAAAGTTTAAATTTGGACCATTTCTACCTGTGTTACCTGTTCTACTTTGGTTTTGGATAGACACCTCTAATTCCCTTTGTTCTTTTTGAAAGGTGAGAGATGTGCGAATCATCTCTGACAGAAACTCCAGAAGATCCAAAGGAATTGCTTACATTGAGTTTGTAGATTCCACCTCTGTACCTTTGGCAATCGGTCTGTCTGGTCAAAGACTTCTTGGAGTACCAATCATTGTCCAGGCTTCACAGGTAACAGAAGCCTGTGAATAAATTGTCAGTCTTTGGTTGTAGATGTGATCATCTTCTAATTGCAATTGTTTGTTTGATCACCAGGCTGAGAAGAACAGAGCAGCTGCATTGGCCAACAACTTACAGAAGGGCAGTTCTGGACCTATGAGACTGTATGTCGGGTCATTACACTTCAACATCACAGAAGACATGCTCCGAGGCATCTTTGAACCATTTGGACGGGTAAATGTTGCCATCTATTATTTGATCACTTTATATTATCACTTGTTCTTTTAAATTTATATTGATCTTTCCTTGTTCATGCAGATTGATAGCATTCAACTGATGATGGACAGTGAAACGGGACGATCTAAAGGATATGGCTTTATCACAGTAAGTTGTATGGTCAAACTGCTTTTGAGATGTCACAGATGTTCAGGTGCAGAATTTCTGACATTACCTGACAAGTAGTTGGTGCCAAGCTCTAGAAGAGGTTATGATCTTCTCAAGAGCTTATTCGCTTTTCCTCTTTCTTCAGTTTTCTGATGCCGAATGTGCCAAGAAGGCTCTGGAACAGCTTAATGGCTTTGAGTTGGCTGGCAGACCGATGAAAGTGGGACATGTGACGGAGCGCACTGATGCCTCCACCGCCAGCTCCTTCCTGGACAATGATGAGCTGGAAAGGACTGGTATTGATCTGGGAACTACCGGAAGACTTCAACTCATGGCCAGACTGGCCGAAGGTAAGGATGTACTCTGATCTGCCGTATTAACATGTATGGTTTTCTACTGTTGTGAAGTGGGTAAAGTCTTGTGGCGTTTTAAAATGCTTAAACTTTGTTATCTGTTAGGTACAGGTCTGCAGATCCCACCCGCTGCACAACAGGCCCTTCAGATGAGTGGCTCCATGGTAGCCATGGCTGCAGCTACTGGTCAGTTCCTTGTCTTTTGTGTTAAATACATATGCTTTCATTTATCCATTTATTGTTGGGTTTTTTTATTTAAAGTCCATCTTTTCTTTCAGCTGCTATGAACCCTGGATTGAGTTTTAACATCAATGTGCCCACAAACCAAGCTATGAATCTACCATCGCAACCAATTGCAACACACTGTTTCCAGCTGTCTAACATGTTCAATCCAAACTCGTAAGTAGCAAGAAAACAATCACAGGTACATCTATGTAGAGAAAGTAATGTTAAAGGCCTGAATTTTAATTGCAGTGTTTTCTTGCAGAGAAAATGATCTTGGTTGGGAAATCGAAATTCAGGATGATGTCATTGAAGAGTGCAACAAACACGGTGGAGTCATACATATATATGTGGACAAGAAATCCGCTGAAGTGCGTGGCTTTCCTTAAACATTGTCATTAATTACTGTTCTAAATGTGGAGCTTATGTATTTAATTTGTAATTCTAAACTTCATTGTTATTTTTCTCAGGGTAATGTCTATGTGAAGTGTCCCACCATTCCTGCTGCCATGGCAGCAGTCAGTGCGTTACATGGACGCTGGTTTGGAGGTAATTCTAAATTCTGTTTGAATTGTTCATTCACTTATCAGTCCAGTTACAATATGCATTATGGTCTGAATTGTCACCTCACATTTTAATCTTTTATTTTAGGTAAAATGATCACAGCAGCTTATGTCCCTCTTCCTACATACCACAACCTTTTCCCAGAGTCAGTGCAGGCTACACAGCTTCTTATGCCCAGTCGCCGGTGATCAATCATCTCTGGAAGATTCACATTTTTCAGCCTTGCTCTTTTTAACTTTTGGACGACAATAACAGCAAGCTGTCGCATTTGTTTTGTTTCCTTTAAGTTGGTTACAAAACCAGTAAGGTTAACTTCACTTGCATATTGTCCTTACAGGTCTTGGACATCGAGAGAAGTTCTGTGGTTTAAAAAAAGTTTCCTATGTACAGCCTACTTGTTGAATTTTGCTTCTTGATCTTTTATTGTTCGTACATATTTTTTTTTTTCCCCCCTTCCACATATATTGTCTTTGTGATAGATCTGATTGGCTTGTTTCTCACTTGAGGAAGTGTACAATATTGCCAGATACACAATATAAAATAAGTCTTGATTTAAACTCTGCAATTTTGATCAAACATCAACATATTCAGCTTTTTGGCTCTATGAGCTGTGGGAACTAAATGGCTGACAAATATCTTTTGTGTTCGTTTAGAGACCATAAGGTTTAGAAACATCTTGTTTTTTCTAATCAAGATTTGATTTTTGTAAAGTCCTTGATGAAAGTTAATTTCAAATAAAGCCAAGATAACTGAAATTGTTTGATTCTCGCTTAATTCGAACTGTTAATTGTGTGAATTTAAAAAAAAAGTGTCACAATGTATTTTTGAAATGCAAACGTGGAGATTTAATTAGACTGCTTACAATAGATGAGAAAAGCTACCATATGGACCATTTGCTTGAGTAGAAATTAGATTAAACTGCAAAAGTGTCATTAAAATAATCATTTGCTCTGTAATTTGTACAAAAATTAAATGTTCAAAATACGAAATATTTCATATTAACTTAAAGTAGATCACCCATTAAAGTGGATGACTATAATTGTTATATCATCTCTGTACATTCTTGCCAAATCTTGGGGCAGACTGAGCATTTTGGCTATACGCTTATGTTCAATGGAGCCGCTGCCATCGCCCCCCAGAGCGTGACGTATCAGATGAGTCGCACTGTTCTCATCCTCCAGAGCAGAGAGCGCTCTACTCTTCCTCTCCTGCAGCAGTCTATGCATCTGTCCAACTGTAAAACTTAGTCCAGAAACTGGCTTCTTCCACTGGATGTCAGACAGGTGTTCCCCTAAGACTTGCACAACAGTCTGCCTGTGCATCAGTTCCCAGAGACCATCAGAAGCTAGAACCAAGAATTTGTCCTGGGGTCGCAATTTATGAGAGATTATTTCTGGCTCTGCTGTGAGGTAAGGTGGTGTGTGGTAGTTCGGAGACAGTATTTTTGAATTTTCGTTTCCGACCAGCAGCTCTGGACGTGCCTCGTAGATGCGATTCAAGAGCTCACTGTTCCACTTTAACTTCATGTCTCCAAAAGCCCTGAAAGGTATTAACAAGCCCAACAACCTGTCATGTTTCACCACTGTCTTATGCTCTGAAGCAGGATGCTCAGAGAGAACTCGTTGCATCTCGTCTGGGTTGTGGGCATTATGGTCATTGGTAATAGTGAGAGCTGACCACCTCCCATCATCCCCTTGGACTCCAAGAACGGCTCTGCTGTCACCCAGATTGGCTACGTGAAGATCTTCTCGGTCCACGTGAGCCACACAAGCCGTGCATCCAGACAGAGCCACTCTGAGAGGTGTGAAATGAGAAAAGGGAACCCCAAAGTCCACCTGGGCCTCCAAGGATATATCATTGTCCAATCTCTTGAAAGCGCTTCTTAAAGCTGTTTGTATATCATTGTCGTCATCCTCGTGAAGGTCTATCCTTTCCTGCCAGTATGTCCTCAGACTATTGAAGTATAGTTTGCCAGCATCTGTGCTAACGTAGTCGTTGGGGTGCTTGTGCCATTGTAGCACGGGAAGCACAGGCCGTTCACTCTCCACAGCCTCCTCTATATCAATTAAAGTCGTCAGTGGAAGTAGAGACACGGCTATGTAGTAGAAGAGACGTTCACTGACTGCTTGTGCGCAAGCAGACCCTGCATGACCATCAAACACTCCGAACAGCATGCCACGGCTCTGTAGACATGTTGCAGCACTCCGTCGGTCTTCGCTTGGGGAGTTTGATGCTAAGATATTACTGTCAAACCCTTTTATCAACACATTATAACGTCCATCATAACCATTTGCTTTTAAACTATACTCATTAGCCTTTAAAGCATGGTTTATTTGTGGGAGTGACATCTGTTTAGCCATGCCATTGTATTTTCTTCTGGGGTTTAGAATCATTGGTGGATTTGTGCAGACTGTAGATTTTGAGAGATGGAAATGCCTTGTGTGCAATAAAGTGGTTCTATTCAGAGTAACATATCCATGCATTGCTGCTGTCCATCTAAGTAATGACCACTGATGTTTGAGGTGGTGCGCTGAAGTTGGATACATTTATGCCAAGAGATGTTATGGATGAATTCTGTACCTGTAAATGTTTTATAATAGTGTATTTAATGAGTGAAAACCAATCAAACCAATGTAAGCAATCACGATTTACTGTGCAAAGGAAGTATACAAATAGGCTTACATATCAATTCCTGAATTAGTACAGTTCAGCCATACTGTACAACTAAATGAATGCATGCAAGCTCAACTGTTGCTAAAAGCTCTGAAGACACCAAATGATTCGTTTTCAGTAAATACTGTATAGAAATGTAGAGGCCTACCTTTCTTTTAGAACCGATCTGAATATTCTAATCGCGCTTTTCCAGACTTTATGTTTCACAGATCTACTTCCTCATTTTCACACGTTGTTTTCAAGTTATTTTCAAGATAGGTACAAAGTCCATTATTTATATTCTTAACTGCGCCAGAGCGCGCCTTGAGAAGTTTTTTTTGCTGCTCTTGACAAAGCGAAAATTAATTCGGCTGAATCAAGACACAAAAGTCATCTATGCCATAATCAGTCAAAATTATGAGATTTTAAGTCATAATTATAAGATAAAAGTCGAAATTATGTCATGCATGACATTGTCATGTCATCTTTTCGAATTTTTATGCAATTCCTTTTTGTCATAATTTAAACTTTTTGTCACAATTATTGCTTTCTGTGTAAAAATGAATAAATAATAACAATCGAAAATTCGTAACATAGGCCGACTACATATGATTAAATGATTTTATCAGAACTGAGGACGTAATTATAATGACGCAATAGCGACGAGTCACTTATTTGAAACGACCTGTTCAAAAGAACCGATTCGAGGAAATTATTTGGAGTTCCCGTCACTACTTTTGAGAAAATGCAAACCGCAGTTTTAAGTAGGCCTATAATGTTGTCTGACAGGAGAAACTAGAAACTAAAGCTTTCTTTCAATAAGCGGGGCTGATTTTTCCAAAATGAACTGATTATATACAAGCATGTCCAAGGACAGGGGAACTGTTACAGAGAAGATTGTATTGGTTCATGTTTACAATTTCCGGCAAAAGAAAAAGGCCAGGCTTACTTTTCAACCAATAGACTCCGTAAACGACACAAAAACCCGCCCACAAAAGACACAGATAACCAATGAGAGTTATAATAACAGACGTCCCGCCCCCGCTGTATGTGCGTCTTGTGTAAGAATCCCCGAATGTTTTTGAGAGCTTATGACACACTGTTTTATGGCGACAGTGAGCATGTCCTCTCTTCTGAAGTTGCACGAATAATACTATTATTTATCTGACGGGCTTTTTGTTTGACGAAGGCTTTGAAAGAAGCTCTTTTTATTATATCTATCATCGTTTATGTTGAGAACACTGTAATTGCATAAACATGATGAACAGGACATTATCGAGAAAACTTCTGGGCTCCATGTGTGGGATCTCCAGCCCTCGACTGAAGTTCGCTCAAAGCGCTGCGAACACTGTGCAAATCCAGAAAGGTAACGTTAAGGTTTTAGTACATCTCATTCTCTAATCTAGAGACCGACAGTGACGCAGTTGAATTGAGCGTGTGTAACTTACTCGGGGAGGCTTTGCTAATATACATTAACACACTTGCATGTAAATACATCTTGACTTCCTTGCATGGGTCTATTTATTCTAAAAGTCACTGTAACTTTTAGTGCTGATAAACATGTCTGTCTTATTCCACAGAGTTGATCAAAACAAGGGAACTTGAAAAGGATGAGCTGAGACCTCTGTATATGGACTTTCAGGCCACCACACCCATGGTACCCAATTATAATGCCATTTAGTTCAATTACTATTCAAACTCGTGAATCTAGTGCATGAGAACATTTCTTGGATGTTTACATGCATTGTTTTCATTGTTTACATCTGATGCAACAGGACCCAAGGGTTTTGGATGCCATGCTCCCATATCAAGTGAATTACTACGGAAACCCACATTCCAGGACTCATGCTTATGGATGGGAGAGTGAGAGTGCAATGGAAAAAGCAAGAAAAGTAAGTCTTTATCCTTCATAAAACCTGTATGTTTTTATTCGATAGCTGAGAGCTTTATTTATGAATATCAAAGCATAATATTTAGGTTTAGCCACAAATGCACTGTTTATTGTAACACCATTGTTTATTTCCTCTTCAGCAAATAGCAGATCTTATTGGTGCTGACCCAAGGGAGATCGTGTTCACCAGTGGTGCTACTGAGTCCAACAATATGTCAATCAAAGTAAGTATGTCATTACTGTTAGGAAAGATTAGGATTAGGAGGAAGTGGGACACTGGGGCACAGATGACTTGGCATTTCCTAAAATAATCAAATAGGTGAAGTTTATATAGGATCCACTGCATTAGTTATTAAGAATTACAAAAAAAATCTCTGTCTTTTCTTGTCTTTAGGGTGTGGCTCGGTTTTATAAAGCTAAGAAAAAGCACATTATTACCACCCAGACGGAACACAAGTGTGTGCTGGACTCGTGTCGTGTTCTGGAGGCAGAGGGTTTTGATATAACGTATTTACCTGTGAAAAATAATGGGCTGATTGACCTGGAGGTAAGCTTTCTTAAGGGGGAATAATTACATTATTTTGCTTTTCAAATAAGTTTCAGACACTCACCTGATCTCACATTGTTTAACAAATAGGGAGTCCCAAACAAGCTCCAAATTGATTAAAACAGTGTTGAAATAATGTTTTAATGGCTGTCACAATAGATTGCAATACTATTAGGGGTTGATAGTGGCACATTGCACAAAAAAAATCAAAATTTGAAATTAGTTTGTGTTTTTATTATATTTTAAAGATCTGGAAGACTTTTTTTAAATGGTTTTCTAAATGTTATATATATATATTTTCACATTGATAACATGGGGGAAAACTGCCCTATAGATATTTTTTATATTATCTCATAATTTGGCTGCAAGTATATTAGGCTGCTGTCACTTTAAGACCTGACACAGGGATCCATTATACTGTTAGATGTACGTTTTCTTTCTCAACTGCTTACGTCCACTTAAAACATAACTGATTGGGTTTATGTGAATATTCGCCAAGACAGGCATTTTGACATGTGTATTTGACTGTTTAAGTGCAATAAGCAGCGAAAAAGATCTCAATTTAGTACTGGGAGGCGGCTTTATGTGCGCGCACTTCGGGTGTGAGCACCAAATCTGTGGGAATGAGTAAAAATATGCACAAAATGCGCAATCCTAGTCCAAAATTCAAGTCCTGCAACACCAACAATATTCATCCTTCAGCGAATGAAATGAGTGAGTGAGCAGAGGCGGGTTTGTGTGTAACTCACTGGAGAGATGAGAGAGAGAACAAGCGCAGCTGCTATCGTGTATCTATTCTGCAGAAAATGAGTATTGGAAGCCTTTCAGATATTTCAGTATCGATACATATGGATATTTTTGGCAACACTACATTACACTTGGTTTATTATTTCAGATGCTTTTTTTAAAAGACTACAATTGAAAAATGTATATATTCTACATCAAAAGCCACCACTGAAATCCACCCGGATTTGGCGGGTTGGCAGGTGTTAATGTCAAGCCCTGTATTTACATCTTATATTTTGCTTCCTTAGCAATTAGAGGAAATGATCCGTCCTGATACAAGCTTGGTGTCCATAATGACTATCAACAATGAGATTGGTGTCAAACAGCCAGTCAAAGAAATAGGTAACCTTTATTATCTACATAATTCTCAAAATAGATACCTGTCAGGCTTCATATCATCTATATCAAGGATGTTTTTTGATTTCAGGTCATCTGTGTAGGTCCAAAAATGTGTTCTTTCACACTGATGCTGCTCAGGCTGTTGGAAAGATCCCTGTTGATGTCATTGACTGGAAAGTGGACCTGATGTCCATCAGCGGCCATAAGATCTACGGGCCCAAAGGTAGCGCATTCTACATTTAAATGCACAATAGTTACATCATCCCAAATATATTAATTGCTTGTGTTTATTAGGAGTTGGGGCTTTGTACGTCAGGAGAAGACCCAGAGTTCGCATTGAGCCTTTGCAGAGCGGAGGGGGTCAGGAAAGGGGTCTGCGTTCAGGGACCGTCCCAACACCTCTAGCCGTAGGCCTCGGAGCCGCCTGTGAGATCGCCCAGCAAGAGCTAGAGGTAGAGTTGGAAAAAGTGCTCGTTTTTTTCTACTACTAGTCTAAGTTTAAGTTTTACTTACATGCAGGTTTAATTTCCTGTTTATTCTCAGTACGATCACAAGCGTGTGACGTTGCTTGCGAATCGCCTAATTCAGAAGATCATGTCTGAGATTCCTGATGTTGTGATGAATGGAGACCCAGATCAGAGATACCCAGGTGAGACTGGATTTCCCAGGTGTCAATTTTCCTTTGTAAGGATCGAAGTTGACTTGGGTTTGTAATCTTAAACACTTTCCTCCTTCAGGATGCATTAATTTATCCTTTTCCTACGTTGAGGGGGAGAGTCTGTTGATGGCGTTAAAAGATGTTGCACTTTCATCTGGAAGGTTAGTAGTTTAAATGTCTAACCAGGGTTTATAAATCTGCGGATGACATGGCGAAAGAGCACACATTGTTCATGTACATGTACTCCCCACATACCAAGCTGGTTGAAAGGTTATCCTTTTACTAAAACTATTAGAGATATTTTTGTTCATTGAAATAATAAAATATAATTATTAGATTTTCATTTATTTGTATATTGTTGCCAAGGCTACATTTAGAATTTTCTATATTTTTAATTTTAAAGTTGAAGTGCTAAAATTACTATCTGGAAATAAATAAATAACTAAAACTGAAAGTAAAAATAAATTAAACCCGAATATAGTCATGTTTAGAATAAAATACAAAAGCACATTGCAAAATTATTAAAAATTAAAATAATAACTGAAAATATAAAACTAAAAGCTAATTTAAAAAAAAAACATAATAGTATGCAAGTAAAAAAAAAACTAAAATAACACAAACTCTTCCTGGAAATGTTTTTATTCAGAAAGATTAATTAATAGAGGTGTTTTTTTATTATTATTTATTTATGATTAACGTTTCTCCTGGGAAAATATGATTTTTATCAAATGTCAGATTTAAAGATTTTATATAACTGTTTTATTGGTTGATTGTTTTTGTTTGTAGAGATAATGTAAAATTATTGTATACAATCAATTGAAATATTATTGTTATTATTTTAAATGTGAGTACTTACTGCAGTGAATATATGCCTTGATGCTGATATGATGATAAATAAATGAATAAAAGTCTTCGTGGACGCAGTGACTTGAGTGTGTTCTTGTTGCAGCGCCTGCACGTCTGCCTCCCTGGAGCCCTCGTATGTTCTCAGAGCAATAGGGACAGATGAGGACTTGGCACACTCTTCTATTCGGTTTGTAGTTTTTACATAATATCAGTCGAAATGTTTATTGTGCTTTTGTGTTGCTTTATCTAAAGTATCAGTACTCAGTGCAGCATGGTTCCTGCTTGAACCATGAGCACACATACTATAATAATGTGTGATCTGATGTTTTTCTCAGATTTGGAATTGGCAGATTTACCACAGAGGAGGAAGTGGACTTCACAGTGGACAAGTGCATTCACCACGTCAAGCGGCTGAGGGAGATGAGGTGAGCTTTTTATCAGTCTGACCTGGCATCATGGAAAACATGGGAATATTTAATATGAATATTTTTTACAAATCCTTATGTAATCACGAATGACTGGGAATGTAATAAACGTATTAGTTAACTTAAAACCCATGCAAACTGGATCTTTCTTTGGGAAAATAAGGAATGTTATAACCTGCTTTGTCCTTTTTTTGGTCTATTAGTCCATTATGGGAAATGGTCCAGGAGGGCATTGACATTAAGAGCATCAAATGGACCCAGCACTGAATCATTCTCTGCGGAAGAAGTATGAAGACCTGCTGTGCTGTAAATACTTGTTCTGTACAGCTTTATTAGGCCGCCATACTCCGAATCCTTACACCTTATTCCCTAAAAAAAACACGCACAATTTTATTTCTCAATTTTTGGGGCTTTGAACCGTCTATGTGGAGATTTTAAGTGCACTTGGATGAATTGCAGAGGTTACAGAGGTGTGGGTTTGTGTCCGTTTTTTTGATATATTATTTTTACAGTTGCTCTGTGTGTTTAAATCACTCAAAATATAATCTCAAAAGACATCTTATAATGAACATGCATTGAATATTGCCCTGTCGTGTTTTTGTGTTTGAGCAAATCATAATATAAACTTAAAAACACTTTAGGGGTCTATCATATTGTCCTTTGTCATTCCTGAGACCAGCAGAAATAATTTTAGTAATAAGTGGTTTTATTACAGAAGCCTTGTTTTAGGCAAGTCAAATGTGAATTCCAAGTTACAGTTAATGAGTAAAGGTTTTCTTGAAATAAAGGACAATAATGGACAGTAGGTGTCATTAAATTCACCTGCCCATTAGAAATGTATTGCGTACGACTTCATGCTTATTGTCAAGTATAAGCGTCTTCTGCGATTGCGATTCACAAATTCTGTAGTGTCTTTGTTTTATTCAAGAATGTTATACTAATAAATATCCAAACCAATTGTTTTGTCTTTTTTCTCTACAGTATACACGTGGTTAAAAAATGTGGGTTTGGTCATTTATTCTTTTTTTGGACAAACTTTTAATCCGCAAGGATGCATTAATCAAAGTAAAAACATGTGACAAATTATTTCTATTCCATACAAATTCTGTAAATTAGAACTTTCTATTCATCCTAAAAAATGTTTCCTCAAATATATTAAGCAGCACAGCAGTTTTCAACATTGATAATAACAAAGAAGTTCACAGGAATAAACATATTTAAATAGAAAACAGTTATTTTAAATTGTAATAATATTTCACAATATTAGTTTTTACTTTATTTTTGATCAGATAAATGCAGCCTTGGTGAACATAAGAGACTTCTTTCAAAAATGGTAATGCATATTTCAGAATCAGATTAAGAAATTCTGAAATTGTAAAGGTAATCGTCTATTTCAGTGCCTGGCAAATGAAAATGAGCCGGAAGTTAAGATTAATCGTTTATTTCAGACAGTTTCACTTACAGATGGTCAGACAAATACAACACAAACAAAATGAGATTTAGAAAACTGCTTTAAAATTACAAATACACAAGAGTCCAATTTATATCTTACATAAATACAAAAAAGGCATGACCAGAAGCTCTGTACATATACTATATACAATTATCTATTTTCATATATACAATAAAAATGAACTATGTACAGCAGTTTTTACCCAGTCTTCCTAAGACAAAAAATTATACAACACATCTAAAGATGGCGATTCACCATAAAAGCGCAGATCAGATCTTGTAAAAGTGCCAATTTGACAGTCTTTATCTTGAGCGACAGTCCTCAAATGGTTAAATACTACACATACAGTAGTACACACAGTCCATGTGCTAAGTGGTCTCCTTCATTTAGTTACCTTATACAAGCTTTTTGAGCAAACATGTTCTCTTTGAGACACTGATGAACAGGTTACCAGCACGAGATATCACATCATACAACTGACACATTATTCCAGGGGCAAAAGTCAATATTTAAGAACATCTTATGTAAGAAAATATTACTAATTTCAGACGTTCAGCAAGCGCCAATTTGTTTTGTGCATCCACACCATAAGTGCTGCTTTTGAATTTACCCTGATATCTTTTTTATTTCCTGAAAATACATTTTTCTAGCTAGTGTTTCATAGCCAAGAGAGTCATAACAGTGTCATGCTACCATGTTTCCAACCTAGTAACAATTGGAAACGTGTCAAAATGATTAATTCCTCCAGTCTCTGCCACCCTCCCAGACAGCTTGTAATGCACAAGAGCTTTAAGCATTAATCATGTGCACCAAAAAATGAAACTACAATATAAAGATTGTTTTAAATAACATTTGAAAAGGACCAAACACAACATGAAAATACTTGTTTGACTGTTGCTGGATCTTAAAGGTGATGATCAGTAGCCTAGTCTCTTCATGGACAGCTTTGGAAAGGACTAACAGCTCCTGACCAGCAGAGGGCATTGTCTGATTGTCTTTACCTTTTGCTAATCTAGGATTAAAAATGTGCCTGCTGGTGTGTTATTTTATTGCTAAAATGGTTAATACTGGTCTTAAATTTTGTGCTGAGCCTAATGTGTAATGTAACATTAGCCATTACCAAACATTAGTTTGATTTTTATTTTATGGTGACAGAAAAATTGGGTGCTTTGTTGGGTTGCCTTACTTTCAGATACTTTCAAAAGTTTGGGGTCAGTAAGTTTTTTTTTTCTTCTAAAGAAATGAACACTATTAAATGAATACTATAATTTAACAAGGATGCATTAAATTGATCAAAAATGACAGTAAATACATTTATAATGTTACAAAAGATTTCTGTTTCAAATCAATGCTGAACTTTCTATACATTAAAGAATTGTGAAAACAGTTATGATGGTTTCCACAAAAATATTAAGCAGCACAACTGTTTACAGCATTGATAATAATAAGAAAGGTTTCTTGAGCACCAAATCAGCATATTATTATGATTTCTGAGGGATCATGTGACCCTGAAGACTGGAGTAATGATGCTGAAAATTCAGCTTTGCCATCACAGAGAAAAAAGAAAACAGTTATTATTCACAATATTACTGTATTTTTGATCACATAAATGCAGCCTTGGTGAGAAGAAGAGACTTCTTTCAAAAACATTACAAAATCTTACAGACCCTTAAGAATAGTAGTGTATGCAGGTATTTTCCCTCTGCTCAACACATGATTATCTTAACAAATGATCCTCAATCTTTCACACAAACCTTTGACTACAGTACGGCCACATGTGCTGTTGGTGAAAGTGAGCATGTATTTATGGCACTCATCATGTGAGATTACAGAATTGATTATATTATTTGTTCATCAGATTACATTATGTCCACAAAAAACTCACAAGGGTTTCCCATGGCATGCTGGAAGGACTGGCGACTAGCGGTGAGTTCGGGTGGTACGGTCCCTATCTCCCTCACTGGTGGGGCCCCAGGGGGCCCGCTGCTGATAGCACCCTTAGGGGTCAATCTGGCCAGGCTGTAGGGAGGAGGCAGGCCTGGGGGCCCGTAAGAGGAGGCGTGGCTCCGTTCGCTGAGTGCACAGGAGGTGTGGCCGTACTTGGAGAAGGGAGTGTGGCTGTAGGAGAAGGACGTGCGGCTGTGCTGGGAAGGGACTCGGGAATGAGTGTGGCTGCGAGATGAGAGAGTATGGCTACGGTGGCTCAACTGGCTGGCTGAACGCTCAACCCGCCTCCCACCTGCTCTGTTGCCTGAATCCGATTCGCTGCCGCCGCTGCCTGCTGCTTTGCGGTCCTTGTCCCTCGGCACGGGCCGCTGGCTCCTCCCAACGCTAGGGTTGGAACTACTGCTTCGACTTCCTGGAAAATAAACAGAAGTTGACATGGCTATATGGAGAACAAAGGAAAGAAAGAAATCAGCCTAATGCATTTTATTTTTTACATGCTTTTTACAGAAGGTAAAACAAAAGTTTCCATAGTAAACTTCTATGCAATGACCAAAACATTTGCTTCAGGTATGTCTGGTTGAGGACAGCAGGGAAAACAAATACTGAATGCAAATAATAACATTCAAGTAACTACAGTACCTTTCAAAAGTTTGGGGTCGGTACGATTTTTAAAAAATTGTATTTGAAAGAAGTCTCTCATGTTCACTCAAGGCTGCATTTATTTAATGAAAAATATAATAAAAAGAAAAACAATCTACTGACCCCAAACCTTTAAACAGTAGTGTATATAATTTTTTTAAAAAAGAAGACACATATTTTGTTGTAAGGCTCTGTCCAGTGAAACTCAGTGTTTTAATTTTGAAGCTAACCAAATTATGCAGATAACAAGAAGGAACATTTGTGATGTGGCTTCAACCCCGAAAACCATAAACAACACTATGCAAAATGAAAAAATACATAAATAAATGCGAATTAGACTATAATAATACAGGTTTCACTTGCTATAAAGTATATACATGATTTATGTTGACCACGATGTGTTTTGCACGGTGAATACTCAATAATAATTATGTCATTAATATTGTTGCATATTGTCAGACCTATGCAATATTTGTTAATATTAATAAATGGTAATGTTTGACTTGAACAATTTAGTTACTGTGAAGACACGTAATATCTGTATCTTTCAGGAAGACCATTTGAGAAGCTCTGATCTAGAACTAATCAGTGCTTCATCCTTCAGCAACTGAAGTAACAGCTCATAAAGTCAGAGAAGCACTCCATCCCTCACTAACATATAATGACAAATGTTCTGCATTTCTCACACTTCGTTCCTTCATGCTATGTTCCATGTTTCAAAGAGAATGATTAAAATATGATGAAAAAATGATGGCAATTAAAGAGCTGGATGACATGACACTGGAGTCAAATGACTATGCAAATGAGTTCATGAGGTGCTGCATCCTGAATTTAAAAGAGTCAAACTTCAAACAAAAGCCACATCATTTCACTCTTACATAACAGGCATGGCAAAGCTTTCTACATACACATATGGGATCTACATTGATTTTGTCATGTTTATTCCCAAACTATTGTGTATGCAGTTCATTTGTGTGGCCGCTTTATCCACAACACATGACATGCTGAGAAATACAGAGACGAGAGGCGAGGCAGCAGGACAAATCCAGCAACAGAAATACCCCAGTCAAGGAGGGAGACATGACCGTAAGAGAGAGAGAGAGAGAGAGAGAGAGAGGGAGAGAGAGAGAGAGAAAGAGAGGGAAGGAGGCTGCCTTACCGGACACCCCAGGGTTGGGACTACCTCCTCCATCAGTCTGCCATTGCCCAGCAGAAACGAACAGGAAACAACACAGTTATGCCGTCTGTCTGTCTGTCTTATTACCAGAAGCTCTATCAAGTACAGTTCATCCTCTCAGCCTGAATGCACTACTGGAATTTCATCTGGAATCTGCTCAGTTAAAATAATATCTTATATGCGCTCACATGTAAGATATCTATTTACATGTTGCGATGACATGAAATATTGTGAAATCCAGGGTCATCAGGAAAGCGAAATTCGATAGTCGATAACAGTTGTGCTGAAATTTCACGATACTAGATACCAATTTCGATACCACAGTAAAGATTTGAATTCTATTGAACAAACTGATTTATTTAATTATTTAAGTAACATATTAATACAAATATTTAAAAAATTAGCCTTCATTTATTGTTCAATTACATTAACTCAATTAAATCAAATGATTATTAGTATATTATTATTTTCAGTTGGTAATAAAGGTCAAAAATGAATTTAGAGCAGCCAGCATTTTCTTTATTTCATGTTAATATCATTGTTTGAATAATATTATCAGTGTAACTGTCTAATACATAGATATACTAAACTGAGTCAGTCCATCGAGTATACTTTTGACATCGCATGTCATATCTATTGAAAATAGACAATACCGTTCAAAGTCAGTAAGATTTTAATACTGTTATTCAGCAAGAATGCATTAAATTGATCAAAAGTGGCAGTAAAAAAAACATTTAAAATATTACAAAAGATTTCTATTTCAAATAAATGTAGCTCTTTTGAACTTTATATTCATCAAAGAATCCTGATTTTTTTTTATAATTTCACAAAAATATTTATTAGCACAACTGCTTTCAACATTGATAATAATAAGAAATGTTTATTAGAATGATTTCTGATAGGGATGGTCAATACCAAACTTATTCTCATTCGATATGATACCGATACTTTTTGTTACAGTTTTAACGATACTGATAATTTCTTAAATCAGTATGTGCTTTTTCAAAATAATGTTCATTTTCATACTTAAAAGTCAAATCACATCTACATGACACATACTGGCCATTAATTACAAATTTACCACAAAAGCAAATATGAGCACAATTAAATAAAAATGTGGACAACAATAGGTGTAAACGTAATCTTGTATTTTAATATTGGGATTAAATAATAATCAAGTAATTAAAATTATTTTAACATAAATATGTATAAAATAAAATAATATACCATGTATCATATACCATGGCATCTTGCTGTTTTTTTTCTACAGGTGAAATGTAACACCACACCATGTTATGTTTCCTTTCAGCCATTCTCTCCATCTCTCTCAGTTTAATGCAGAAGTGTATCTCGTGTGACACGTCACGTGACACAGGCCAGCTAAATATGTTTAAAAACAAACATTAACAAAAAGTGCTGGAAACATTTGAATGTGATGCAGAAACCCACATTTTGTATAATTATCATTTTAATATGGATATTTTTTCAAGGAATCGATATCAAATAAATCAATACTTGTTATGAGTATCGATATATGGATACTATAGTATCAACGTGCCCATCCCTAATTTCTGAAGGATTATGGGACCGAAGACTGGAGCAATGGCTTTATTAACAATATTTCACATTATTATGGTTTTTAATTTTGATCAAATAAATGCATAAGAGTAAAACATTAAAGAATTGTATCGACCCAAAACTTTTGAACGGTAGTGTATATATAGTACATAAAATCCATGTACTTAAATATTTAAAATGTTTTTCCATATCTGCCCTAGTTTGATTTTGTTTGACTGCTTTCATGGGCCTATCCATAAGTTTCAAACCACACAACACATCCGAACCTTCACTCAAGAGATGACAGATCACTCTAACTGCTCTTTACAGCAACTCAAACACACACAACAGGCTGCTGAGTTTCCTTCCTGACATTTTCACTGAGCTAGTGCATGGCATGTGTGAAATGAGCAACAGGTGAAGGTTAATGTGAAGCAGTGGATTGAGACGGACGTGTTTGTGCACTGCATCAGCGTTGAAGGCAAAAAGCACTAGAGAATGAGATGTATATGCCAGATGAAATCATGATGAGCTGATGTCAGCTGATGGGGATCATTTTTTAAAATGTGGCCAAAAATGAAGAAGATTTGCTTGAAAGGTTTTAAACTAGGGACTAAGACACCTAAAATGGGCCGACCATATTTGAGGACAATACTTAAAAAAAAAAATCTTAATTCTTGCTTTCAAAACCAGCTGGATAGAGTGCAAGCAAATGCATAATGCAGGATCAACTGTTTCATACATTTACAACAGCCTGAAATAATGTTTATATATGAGCGATCTTATCATTTCAGTACTGAACTAGGCTGAGATTTATTTTGGAATGTCTAACTGTGATCCAGTAATATGAAGTCAAGGATGACCTTTCCCTACTTACCCTCACTGTGATGACTTCCTGCACTGCCACTGTGGAAACTGTGGCAGGGGTCGGAATATCCTGGTGGGAAACCAGAGGGCGCTGTGGAGAAGGGTGGATAGGGGAAGGGCTGGCCGCCCATGGGCCATGGGTTAGTAGACGGAGGGGGGAGAGGGGCCAATGTGTCCTGCTCTGAACCGGCACCACTCGATCCCTCATTCAAGTTTAGCGTAGCCATGTCTAAGAACAAAGGTGGAAATTATAAAGAGGTGGAAACATTTTGTTTGTAAGGATAAATAAAAAGCATGAAGGAAATGTAGAGATGTGTTGTACTTTGGCAGAGATCTCCAAATGTGTAGTAACACTGTTCAGAGAAGGTGATCTTGTTGACAGTGTGTCTCAGATAGCCGTGTTTGAGCAGGCTGCTGGCATATTTCCTAGCATCACGCCGGTCTTTGAATCCTTCAACCCGTGAGTACAGCCAGTCTACTACATCACCTCCTGTAACATGCCAGATACAGACAGATGAATACCTATACACCACAGTTATTATAGTTAAATAAAACCATAAAAAAAAAAAACATTTTTTTGTAACTTTAAATAAAATAAAAGGTAAGTTAAGAAATAAAATAAAATATAAACAAAAAAAGTTTTACAGCTCCCACTTTATATGAAGTATCTTTGTCTACTATGTACTAACATTTCAAGGTAACACTTTATTTTACAGTGTTATTGTTACATATGTTACATATAGTTACTATAGTAATAACTATAATTACATGCAACTAACCCTAAACCAAACCAATCCCTAATCATAACCCTTTAGTAAGTACATGTAGTTACTTAATATTACTGAGTACTTAAATGTATAATTATAGTGTAACAAAGACACCTTAAAATGTATGATAAGTGTATTCATTTCAATTAATCATTTGATACAATGCACTTATTGTATACATACACATAGTACTTATATTGAAAAAATACCTGCATGTAATACAGCTGTAATTAATTCCTGTAATTACATTTATCATTACACTGCTGACTCTTCCATTACCCATTAACCAACCCTTAAACCTACCCATACCACCAAACCTGTAACTAACCTTACCAGTATCCCACCTCAATATCAGCGCAAGTGTTTTGCAATTCAACATGAACACAATGAGTACACATTGTACCTAACAATTATTTTTTGATGTAAGTATATAGTAGTTACACATCTAATATAAAGTATGACTGTGATGTGACTTGATGTGCCACAATAACTAAAAAAACTAAAATAAAAATGTATAAAAAAGTATTATACATATTAAATTATAAATATATACATATAAAAATTATAAAACAATATCTCCTTCAAAATATTACTAAAAATATAATAGTATCTCAATACTAAAATAACACTGCTTTACACATTTTTAAAACATTATCAACATTAATAACATGAGTGAGATATTTTCAAAGGTGATGAACGCAAAAGACATCTTACCTATTACAGCATTAGATATAGTAATCTTGAGCCACATCCTGTCCCTTATCTCTAGTCCTGAGTCTGGGACCTGCATCACCTTTACAATGGTGGCCATGTCTGTTTTTCCCACTGTAAGAGGGAGATCGTCAAACTCTGTGAAGGACAACAGGATGATTAGGATCATGCTTTTCAACAAAAAAAAGAGATGCTGTGATCTGTCAGAGAGAAAAGACTGTACCGTTTTGTGGGTAAGATCCTGTTAGTGCAGTAGTGTGGGAAATCCATGCAGCCGGGTCAATGGGTCTTACTGGTTCAGCTTTGGGAGGGAAAAAACAGGTCAGATAAGTCAGATAAGATGGACAAGTATCTCCATACCTAGCTTATGTTTATCTGAAAGAAGCGTAGATAAAGAGTTTGTGTGTATTGACCTCTGGGTATTGTAAAGTAACTGCGAGGCGAAGGGTCCCAGCATTTGGCAACAGTGAGACTGATAGGACTACAGAAGACGAGTACAATGGTTAGTTAAAACACATTTACATCTAAGCCTCATGTCCAATGTTACAATTCAGACATGTTTATTCTTACCCATTCTTTGAGACAATCTCTCTGAGGATCCTGACAGCATCGTCATTGCTCATGTTCTCAAAGTTCACATCATTTACCTGCAAGTCAAAATGTGGCATACACACATGTTAGCATTAAGGCAGAGCAGAGCCTCTGTGAGAAATTCATACCAAGGTCAACTGGGACCTTCTAAGTTTCTGTAAATAAAAGCAGCAAAATAATTTGCATTTAACTGATCTTAAGGTAATTACCTTAAGGTAATGTTAATAATATCAGTGTGCCAAACTGTGCAATGCCGATATAAATACGCAGTCTAATCCATAACTATAACTGTAATCTGCCACTCAACGGGGATCAGCAGCTACTGGAGGCATTTGAAGGCTGTATTTGGATCCAGAGACAATCACTACTAAAGCCACAGAGCAAGAGGCCAAATCTCATCATTAAAAACGAATGTAAGTAAGTATGTCCCTGCAGTGTTATATCACTTTAATACACCACTGGCGGAACCAATCCACTGTATTACACTAATCTGCTATTCGAACTGAAAAACTGATCTATTAAGTGTTTTTAAAGGGATAGTCCACCCAAAAATGAAAAATTTGAAGAATGTTGGTAACCAAACAGTTTTGGTTCCCACTGACTTCCATTGTATGGTCAAAAATGCAATGGAAGTCAATGGGAACCAAATTTGTTTGGTCTAAATATTACATTTTGAATATAGAAATATGTTGGGAAAAATGAAATGATACTATTATGAAACTAAAACCGCCAGTAGGTGAAGGAAAGTCGTAATAAGTGAATCATAGAATCATTCATTCAACTGATTCGTTCAAACCAGCTGATTTATTCATGAAAGAAGCAAGTGTCCACTGATGCTGATTTCGGAACCACATACTAACATACTACTCTTACTAATTTTGCCATAGAATGATATAGGAAAAAAGTAAGAGTAGTATGCTAGAAAGCGGTTCCGAATTCAGCACGAGTTTATGAATGGGTCATTGAAAAACTCACCCGATTCGTTCAAAAATAGTAAATCATTCAATAACGCCACACCGCTGTGTGTTGCTGGGGGACACAAGTTTTCAAAAAGCAGATGTTCTGCTCATATAGTATTTAATGTTGCATGCTTCAATAACAGCCTCTTTGGAATGTCTTTTTTATACTGTCAATGTTTACAAAAAACAATTATGTTCCAAAATTGTTAAAACCAGACTAAATTGATCACAAACAGAAATGAATATTCTCAAGAAGTGCCATTGCAGACTACAATGTACCTGCAGCAGCATGTCGCCTGGCTCTATTCTCCCATCTGCTGCCACCGCTCCTCCCTTCATGATAGAGCCGATGTAGATGCCACCATCTCCTCTATCGTTACTTTGGCCCACTATACTGATGCCGAGAAAGTTGTATTTCTCTGTGCAAACAAGAGAGAACACGGACGTGATGAATTTGTGTCACACTGTACGTGTACATGTAAAAGGCAAGCTGATCTTACCCATATTGAGGGTAACTGTGATGATGTTGAGGCTCATGGTTGAATCTGTGATACTACTGAAGGAAGATGACTGTGGATACGAAAGCAAAGGAGATACATGAAACCCTAAGAAGTCAAATACATGTATACATATATATACACACACACACACACACATTTACCTGGCTGAATTGAAACATAGACCTCTATTGTTTTTTATATAGTTATTTATAAATAGTATAACCTAACCCACACCCTAGCCCTAAGGTTTTGGGATGTTTTGTCAGATTTAGCTCTTTTCTGGATGCAAATTTGTCCCCAATATATGGTTAAGTAGGTGCACACAAGCAAGCACACACACATTTCTAACCCTGTCGATTTTAGCCACTTTGTGTCGCCGGCGCCTGCGCTTATGTCTCTTCATTAACTGAAAAGAAGAGCTCTGCTCTGTGGAATTGCTCAGCCTGAGAGAGACAAACATAGAAGAGAAGAACAGATAGATTATTGAATACAATCTGAGCCAAGACTGAATAAGTCAGTTAGAAGTCTAGCACACAGTAAAAGCAAAGTGTCAAAAAGTTTATGCTTTATATCATTCCAAACCTGCTAGCATCCTCATCCTCCTCGCTGTCAATGAAGGAGCTTGACTCCAGCTCACTGCTCATCATAGACCCACTGTCACAGCCCATGGCCGAGTCCCTCACCACCCGCTCGGCTTTTGTGTGACCGTTCACACGCGGGACTAAGAACAATCATGCACACAGCGAGCTTGTGAATGCCTTGTTGAAAAAACAAAACACTAACAAAGAGAACCATATATTTGGATATATTCATGGCTTGATCGCACCTTGAGCGACAAACTTAAAAAGAGGAAAACATACACTCCTGTGGGCGTGGCTCTGCCTCAGGGTGGCATCTGATTGGCTGGAAGGCTCTGGTGAGGCGGTGGCATCTCAGTGAGCCGGGCTTTTGGTATCGCCTCTGGTGGAACCCGAAACACTCCAGGAGAGTTGGGCTGCCAGTGCTTCTTTCACCAGGCTGATATCGCTCTCTCATACTGTCTGATATGCTCACTCACATGCCAGTCTTTTGAATTTTAAGGCAGCACTTTATTTATCTTGCACTTGCAGTCATTACTAAATTAGTTTGATGAAAGTTTGATTAACAAAAGACAGGCAGTAGAACAAAGGAGATGTGGGGGAAAGTAAAAGCACAAGACTAATGGAGAACAAAATATGTTTAAATATCATTTATATTCTGTGTTTTTATTCAGACTACAGATGTAGAGCAAACAAGCTACAAAAGATGGCGATATAGCTTAATGCACATCTACATCTAGCAAACTAGGCAATCCATTACAGAGCCATGTTTGACTTCAGGCAACGAAATGGAAACAAAGTACTCAATACATCACCACTATTTGTGTAAGCAGCCTATTTAAACCCAGACTACAGATATATCACGTTTAGCAGGATAATATAACAATATATTACATGTGATGCACAAGGGCATATTATGTTGCAATCTATTGAAAAAATAATTCTTCACATGCTGGTTAAAATTTTAGTTAATTTATAGTTTCCTTTATTTCATTCTTACAAATTTAGTTTAACGTAAAATAATAAAAATGAGTTTTAAAAAATTAAAATATAGGATACGAAAACAAGCCAATTATGAAAAAAAAATTAAATCAATATTTTTTTAAATATTGTAAAAATATACCGATTAAGAAAACTATTTTATTTTATTTTATTATATTTGCTGCAGTTTAACAAGTCTAGCATTCTGTATACTAGATAACATTTTTTTCTTTATAATAGATAATATTTTCACTTGCTCTTAACAAAATACAAGCCAATTACGCATGTCTTTCTGATAAATTAATATTTAGCAATAGCACTACAAAACATATGAAATGAATAGCCTACCCGAATTTTGTTTATTTTAAAATAAAATAAAAAGTCGCCTTACCTCAGAAAGCGCTAACGACAGAAGAGCTTCTCTCCGCCGGTGCACACAAATAAACTACTACACAGACAGAAGAACTCCCGCGGGAGCGCGCGATATGAATTTATTATCCTCCCCTTCTGCTCGCGCTCTCACCAGACGCGCACTGTCATTCATCAACAGCAGCGCGTCGACAATGAGCGCGCGACGATTTCGATTTTTGCATTCTCTGCTCGAGCGTGAAAATAATCATCATGTAGCCTACTGTGCAATTATAATTTACGAGGCAAAGTTTCCCCGCGTCGAGGGGTGACAAAAGCCTCTAAACAGAAATTTGAGGATAAAATATAGTCTGAAGTGTGACGTTAGCATGTGGAAATAAATAAATAAATAACTGTTTGTTTCGCCTGACTAACTGTTTTCCATGTTGTCTAAACATACATCTGAGTCTTTCAGGACAGGACAGCTACATTTTTGTATTTAACAGCCTACTAAATATTGTAATATAGCTACAACAAATGTTGTAGCCTAAATCTGGAAATGACAAAAACTGGATTTGTTGCCCATAACATATTGTCTGTGTAGGGTGCATAAAGCCACATCCCACTGTTGTCTTTTATTTGATTTTTATCTTTTTACTTTTTATTTCTTTATTTTATGCATTTTTTTAACCTATCTGTATTAGTATCAGAGGCGGACAGAGTACACAGCTTCATTACTTGAGTAAAAGTACAGATACCCCTTGCTAAATTTTACTCAAGTACAAGTAAAAGTACTACAGTCAGATGTCTACTTAAGTAAAAGTACTGAAGTACTTGTTTTTAAAAGTACTTGAGTATCAAGAGTACATTTTCTAATGTTAAAAAGTTGGAGGATGAATTTTTGTAGGCGGTGATGAAGTTCTGTTTTGGTAAACACAGCAAACACTTAAAGCGAAAACTATCATTAACTTGTTCAGAAAATTAAAATAGTCTGGCAAGGTGGGGCCACGGGTTGGCACAATCCCGGGATGGACCTGCTGCATCTCTTCATCCATTGTTTCGTCCATGGTTTCGTCTCTTATCTAAATCTGACCATGGAGTTGACTTTGGCGGAAAGCTGAAGGTGATTGCTGATAGGCTGTCCCAATCAGTGGCGCCTGCACAATCAAATTACGTTTGAGAGGGAAACAACAAATTGAGGGTTTCTGAGATTTTTCTTTTTAGAAGTAGTAACGGGTACTCACGGTTATGGATAGAAATGTAGTGGAGTAAAGAGTACAATATTTGCCTCTCAAATGTACTTGAGTAAAGTCATGAGTACTCCCCAAAAATGATACTCGAGTAAAGTACAGATCCCTCAAAATTGTACTTAAGTACTGTACTCAAGTAAATGTACTCCGTTACTGTCCGGCTCTGATTAGTATGTTATATAAGTAAATTTCTTTGTGTTGTGTGTTTAGCATAAAAAAAAAGAAAAGGAAAAAGGAAAATAAATAAATAAATAAATCCACATTCCTGCTTTGCATTTTGTTGGCAAATAGGAAAGGGCCACAGCACAAAATTCAGTCAGGGGCCCAGAATCCCTAGCTACCGCCTGGCTATTCCCAGAGGAACAGTGCATCTTGTAAACCTAATATTTTTTTCTCCTTTTTGTCCTATTAATTCTGAACTCAAGGAGTGTTGCACTGTCACCACTGACACTGTCTCCAGACTGGCCAGCTAATTAAGCCACACTGATTAATGATCAGCGGGAACTAATGGGCCAACAGAGAGACCTGCGCTACCATCACAAACACAGATAAATTATTCTGAGAGGTCTGGGTGTGTTTGCGTGTGAGAAAGCATTTGTTTTGTAAGGGTGAGGACTATGTTGAATAGACGACAGGAAGGGTGTGTGATTCTGCTCTGTTAACGCCTGTTGTTGTAAATAAGTATTTTACCAAAAAAAAAGTGCCATTGTACATTGTATTAATGTGTCTTTATTTGTGCAGTTAAGTATTGTGCAAACAATCAATGGAAGCTCAAGAACAAATACAGAAACAAAGAAAGAAGAGAAACAAAATGTACTACGAGAGTGTATGCAAATGTCATTTAAATGACAGATTGCTTTATTTGTATTCTTCCGTAATATTAATGTGAGAACACATTTAAAAAAGATGAAGTCGTTTCAGTCTGTCATGGTAGGTAATTATGGATAAATTAAGACTTTATAAATGAGCTAAAAACAAACAAATGCATACACAAAAAGACAAAGATGAAAACACCACTATAAACATACACAAAAAGAGGTGACTTTTTGACCTCAGTTTGAAAAGACGAATATATTTAGCACACCAATGAGGCAAATATCCTACATAAGAGGGCGTAAAACATTTGTCATGCTCAGAGTAGGATCAAGCCATGATTATATCAACTTTGTGTACGAATGCAAAATAAAGTGGCATGTACAGCAGGGATTTGGTCACCTATGCAGGGTTCCTACACAGTATGGAAAAGTACAGATTTGAGTCATTTCCAAGTCTGGATAAGTATATAATATATATATATAGTGTTTCTAAACTATTGCTCCATTTCAGTTTTCTAAATATAAAATTAAGAATTAAAACAAATATATATAATAATAATTATCGTACAAGCAGAGTGTTTTTATGGCAAAAGTTTCAAGGCGCACATTTTCATTACGCGCACCTGTTTGTCTTTACCATAAGCCAAACCAGCAACTGATAAAGGAGCAAGCGATTATCTAAATCAGACAGTACGATTTTCGGTTAAATATGGTGTGAAATTTGAGTCTGGAAAAGTATAGAATTTTGAAATGGAAAACTTGCAGGAACCCTGATTATGATAAAAGTCCAGTATTTAGACATAATCTTGTAGCTACACTCACATTCATCTCTCCTCCGTCTTGTCCTTTCTCGTTCCCGCTCTCTGCGGTGGCGGAGAACAGACTCACTTCCAGTTTCTGTGTCCAGACCGTCTCTGCTGTTCACTGCATTAGCACTGTGGCAAACACACACACAGAAACATATGCAGCATGAGCTCTGAAAAACATTGTATGTGCATGTAAGATATACATGTAAGCGATGGAATGCAGACTATTTTAGCCTTTGTGAGAAGGGCAGAAAGGGGAAGAGAGTGAGCAAGAGAGAAACAGAATAATGGTAATGACACATAGGGGGCTTCATCATGAAAAATCGTTTTTTGAATTACACCCTTGGGGCAGGCAAGTGTGTCTTTGTGCAAGCATGAACATATATATGTGCTTTCAGTAGAAATCTGAGTGAGGTGAAAGATTTATTCCACCATATAGTCAAGGTAGCCTATAAAGGTGTGTGTGTGTGTGTGTGTGTGTGTATATATATGACCCCTGAATGTTTCTTTTTTTTTTTGCCTTATGCCAAAAATGAGTTTGTCCTTTCCGGAAGATATAATACTTTTAAATACACTGTAGGGCAAAGAGGACATATCCTGTACATGCAGTAGAAATTACATTTTTAATGATAAAAAAAAGTCACTTCAGTTCTTGCTATTTTAATACAAAAATGTTGATGTAATAAAAATACATGTTTAATAATAATTGTAATCATTCATTTATTTTTTTCATTATAAATGTTTGTATGAAACATACACTATTGGTCAGTATAATTTACTTTTGGAAAGAAATTAACACTGTTATTCAGCAAGGATTCATTGAATTGATCAAAAGTGCATGACAGTAAAGCCATTTTTAATGTTACAAAAGATTTCTGTTTCAAATTAATGTTTCAAATTAATTCTATTCATCAAAGAATCCTGAATATGAAGCAGAATAGTTGTTTTCAACAGTGACAATCATAAGAAATGTTTCTTGAGCACCAAATCAACATAGAATGATTTCTGAAGGATCATGTGACCCTGAAGACTGGAGTAATGATGCTGAAAATTCAGCTTTGCCATCACAGGAATCAATTACATTTTAAAAAATATATTAAAATATAACAGTTATTTTAAATTGTAATAATATTTCACAAGATTCCTGTTTTACTGTATTTTACTGTACTGTATGTTTGATCAAATAAATACAGTTTTGCTGAATATAAGACTTTTCAAAAACATAAAAAATGACCCCAAACTTTTTAACGCTAGTGTTTTACAGCGTATTGTTATTATTGTTGTTCTAAAAATGTGAGGTAAACTGCATGAATGCAACATGTGATACAAATGTAAGCAGTGAGTCAGTCAACCAATGTTAGAAATTAAGGTCATGGCATCAAAAATTATATAATCCAATGAGTTTGTGCTTTGCTGTGCAGTTTACAAATCAGCCACAAGAGGGCAGAAATATCACAGCAACAGCTCTAGTGATCTGCATCAGCGTATCCTCACATGTGAGGCTCAATTCCCACTTCATCAACACGAAACCAGCATGGCAATGGGTTCATTTTAACGCACATTATTCATATTCATATTATAAGTATTATATTATATCATATGGCATGCTGCCTTCATATATTCTCCTATACAAGTATAATCCACACATAAATGGACTGCATTTATATAGCGCTTTCACAGACCCAATGGCCACCAAAGCGCTTTACATTTTGCCTCACATTCACCCATTCATACACATTCATACACCGACGGTGTCTTGCTCATGGACACCTCGACACTTGGTCAGGTGGAATAATTAAGTGAACCAACCTTCCGGTTTGTAGACAACCAACATGAACCACTGCCGCCCCAAACCACATAAGCCTTAAGGTTTGTTTTGATTTCTTGCCTTATAAAAGGAACTGGATGTGTGAGTGTGTGACTGCAATAATAATGTTCCATCCACACTGTAAAAAATGGTTGTAACTTATAGAAAAAAAAACCCTGTAAAAATGCTACAGTAAAAACCGGTTACTAGTTACCTTATCACATACAGTGGAAAAACTGCAAATGGTAGAACATATTGCCTTATATGTAATTTTATTGTAAAGTTATGTCAAATTAGGGTTTTTTTTGCTTGTAAAAACTATAAAATAATATTTGACATATTTTGTACAGGTTTACCTTGCATTATATTATACCTTATTATTATTACTACATCAATCATGTCCTTGTAGATGTTTACTATTTTTGCTATTTCTCTATTTATACACATTCATACACTATCATCACAGTGCCCCTTTTCTATATTTATATCCCTTTTCATCTGCACAGTGCTGTTCTCTTGCCTTCTTTACACTATTTGCATTTTTTGCACAATATATTACTATTTCCATTTCTGGTTAGATGCTAACTACTCTACATAATTAAGTTAAGTCTAATCTAGACATTTTCAATGAATATGCACAAGATGTCTCTCCCTGTCCTCTCATGTTTAAAACATTAACAATTTTATATTTGGTCATGCCGTTGCATAACAGTGAATCAGATTTACAAAGGTCCCTTCTGGATGTTCTGCTATGGGCAGATACACCACTCATTGTTTACCACAACTCCCTTCAACATTTGTGTCTCATGCTTTCTGGATGACTGAGCCCAGTGGGGGAGCAAGAGCCAAGGGGATTTGCTCTCTTTATGCTGTTGATATTCCTACATCCACAACATCAACATGCATGTGTGTGTGTGTGTGTGTGTGTGTGTGTGAGAGAGAGATTATTATGTAGATCAGGGATTCTCAACCGGGGGTAAACGTTCCCCAGGGGTTACTTCAGCAGGTTGCAGGGGGTTCTTGGAACATTTTTGATTTTGCTTTAAAACTGAAATTGCTCATTACATTTTTTTTTGAGTTGTCAACACATTCAAATAATTAATTGCAATTATTGTCATGATTTTTTTATTTAACACGTATTCTTTTTTTAAGGCAAGACACTATGGCCAAAAATATTGTTTTAATTCCTATATATATATTCTGAAGGTTTTTACAGAGGGGTTTGTTCATTTATCATTTGCCTGATTTTATACATCATTTTATTCTTAAAAACATGGTGATATATTGATTTTTTTTTCTTTCTGGCTGTTGACAGAATTTTCTGATTTATGGAGTGATAAAAAAGAGACGTCAATTCAGTAAAAACCTCTGACTCTAATAAGTCAACAAAATGAAACAAGATTTTTAAGATTTTTAACCTGACTTTATCTGGAAATGTATGCAAATTAGTGAATATTTAATTAGATACCTAATTTGCATATTCAAACAACATTTTAGAAAACATGTAATACAATTTTTTTCCATTTAATGTAATCAATTAACTGGGGAAGTATGGTGATGTATTTACCAAAAAAATACCAGACATGCCTTAAAAACGAACTCATTTCTGGTTTGATGTCGATGAAGGGATTCTTGAGCCTTTCAGTAGAGGTACATGTACAAAAATCATGTACCCGAGTGATCAGGGAATCTGATTTCACCTCATGTAAAAGAAGCATGGAGGTGTATAAAGTAAAGTGTGTGTGCAGGTGAAGGTGACACGGCATGTGCGGGATGCAGAATGTGTGAGGGATAAAGAGAGCATCACCAATGTGAGTGTGTATGTGTGTGTGCACTCATGTGAGATAATCAGCACATCTGGTGCACGCTATAAATGGATGTTTTCAGTGGTTGAGCATAAAACACAATGGCAGCATAAAATGAACTATTAAATATTGTGCAGAGAACACTAAATATTACACTTGACCAGGCCCACACGATTCAGTTATATAATGCAATTATATCATAGCAATATCAAGAGATAATACCATTTCTGATATCAACTGAACCTGGAATCGATCCAAATAGAAGAAACAGCATTTTGATCTCTTAAAGACACCCTGTGGTGAAAATCAAGTTTTAAATGCTGTTTATATGTCTATGTGGTGTTTATAATATGCTTTAAGACCAACCATATGCAAATTTATAAGTCAACACCATTGCTGAGTATTTTCTCTTTAAAAATACAGTGAACCAAAGACAGTCTCAAAAACACGGTTTAAAATCGCTGGTGTTTCTTACGTCACAAACTACCTTGTAACCAATCACCTCGACGTGCGGGTGGGCTTTAGCATATCATTAATTATGCTCTGAAGCAGGGGAGTCTTAAGAGAAGCCAGGTTATCCCGGTATATTTTTCTGTTGATATGAAAAATCAGGTAGATTTAGCAATATGATGTATATTACGATGTTATGATGAACTATATGCCTTTCTCCACTGATATTCTAAGTTGTTCAAGCGTTTCTAAGGATATTGATTGTTAGAAGGCAGCTGTCTGACTCCGAGATGGCGAACGGGAACATGGTTTGTGTAACATTAGCAACACATTATTAGCTGTTTGATAACATAGTCAAGCAAAAGGCTAATCATATTAATTACCATTATGTGTCCGATGTTGTAAAGAGCGATACCATTGTGCAGCTTTTACCTCAGTAAGTTCACAGAGTAGATCTCTGAGCTGGTGAGAGTGAGTGGAGGCGGGGCTAATTAGCATATTCATGGATCTGCATATACTACATGAAGAAAGGGTGTAGTTACATTCTATTTTAAAGCATGAAGACTTTTTTTCCCAAGAAAAATCGTTTAAATATGTAATTTTGGTTTTGCCGCTAGGGGTCGCTAACCTCTTACAATAACAAAGGCATAGGTGGATGATGCTAAGCGGAATTATGGAACTTGTCGTCATGCCGATGGATCTAATAATGTTTATGGATGAGTGAATACATTGATTTTTTTTACATGACTGTGGTATGAAGCAGGTCACAATTGCTAATGAGAGACAGATATATATCAGCGCCACACGCGAGTCCCGTGGATATAAAGGAATAAGGACATTTCATTCTACCGAACTACCCGCAAGTGCTGAATTACTGACACAGGTCAGTTTATTCGACGAATTAAACTTGTGAAGTAACACAGCGCTGATTCACTTGGTCTACACTATTATACTAAACAGCATTTGAGTGTGTTGAAAGTTATAATGTTATTCTATGTGTTAGTTTGTTGGCTATATAAGACAAGGAGTAAGCTAGATCAACATCGGAATAACATACTGATCATATTCTAACATTTCATCATGTTGAGCTATGATAACATTGATTCATTTTATGTACATTTGCTCACCTGTCTAATAAAGTACATGCAAGAGTGGCGTCTCTGTCAAGTCGAAGTTAGTCGCGGACGTGGAGCTCTCGGCATCTCGAAAATACCACGCCGATATTGATCCTCGTTTTATTTCATTTTATATAATTTTATTTCGTTTTAGATCCTCGGTCCATAATGTTTGAACGAAACAACAACAGCGTGAGAGTGCCGCTAGACGTAACGCAGTTGTCCACGTCTGTCGCCATGGTTACTATGGCAGTACAAGCGGAAACCAGGGATAACGCGGATATTACGTCATTGACAGGCAACAATGACCAGGGACGAGCCATTATTTAAAATTGGAATTTCTTTGAAATTCTCTGAGATTTTTGGATATTTTATTACAAAAATCTTACATATTGTACCTTTAAGGGATAAAATGATTGACTACAGGGGGAATTTAACTACTGAATATATCAGAAGTTCGGGATAATGAGTTTGACTGAGCATGTGTATTAAAAGAGGGCATCTGTGTAGTGAATTTGTTCTGGAGTGTGTGTTGCACAGGATACATGCGTGTTACTCACTGGAACGAGGGAGGTCTGGAGTCTCCGATGCCTCCTGTCCTCTCCAGTGGTGGGGGAAGCTCAGTATGACTGTCAGTGCACACCGACATCCCATCTGTGTGGGAGCTCTCAGCCAATACAAGCTACAAATACAAAACAGACAAATAAATGCATTTTAACACAAAGATGAACTTAAAGAGTTGAAATGAAAATTACTCACCCTCATGTTGTTCCAAACCCATCTCTGGGTATTAAACCCAAATATTAAATTAAATCGGTTTATCATGTAAAGTGACCGTGTTTCTTCAGAAGACTTGGATTACACAGGGCGATTCATATGGATTTTACGATCTCTTTAAGAACCCTTTTGGGTTTGGGTTTGAATTTTGGGTGAATCGACGTACAATGGAGGGGCAGAAATCTCCATTTCTTTGTTTGTGTTTTGGAGATAAACAAAAGTCTTATGGGTTTGGAACAACATGAGAGTGGGTAACTGATGACAGAATTTTAATTTATGGGTGAAATCCTTTAAGTAAACATAAGTGTCAAGTTCAGATGCTTTTTGTTTAATAAAATGATGTTTGAACTGTTCTACTAAACTCAAAACAAAAGACTACAACAGGCAAAGGCCTCAAAGGCACTAAATAAAAATGGCATCCAGCAGAAAGCAATGTCCTGAATTATGCATTGCACTTTAGTCGGTAAGACTTCAAAGTGCCTTTCAGACTTAATTAGTATAATGAATCGGTGAACTAAAACTGTTGATGTCCAGTATATGATTTAGCGCATGTGCTGCATCTTTCTTACGAGTCGACATATGAATGCATGACTGCCTGCCTTTTCCACTCTGATTCAGATGTTTTATAAGGCAGAGGTTTTCACAGCTCACCCATGACACCACTCTCCCATTGAAACAAGGCAGTTTGGCGTTATCGTCAGAGACTTCCTCTTTGACAACCCTGCAGGGACACAAAGAAAAAAGATGCATGTGTATTTAATTAGAAGTGTTTTTGTATGAAACTGCTGCATTGGTTGTGCATGCTGCATATATCGTCACTACCGCCATGCGCTGAGAAATGAGCTCATAGGACTAGATAACATCTTCATGTACTGTGTGATGTGTAACTGTGATCCTGTTTAAATGTGTTGTTTAGACTGACTTTGCAAGCAGCAAACTGTCAAAATGGAGTTGAATAGAGGGCATATGGTGAGGATCTCACAAGACAGCTTGTAATGAATGCGTCAACTCAATGATACCAAACTTAAGCTGACATAGGGGTGGTTTCCCGGACAGAGATTAAGCCTAGTCCTAGACTAAAATGGCCCTTTAAACCAGATTAACAATAATCTGCTTTCTCTATCATGGTTTTAAATAGTCCAAGACTTAGTCTAGTCCAGAGTTTAACAAGCTGATTTCCTGGAGGAAGACTAGAGCTACTTCAGGACTAAATTGAGGCTTAAATTAAACCTACCGGGAGGCAGGCCTAGCCCTCCAGCAGATCAATTCCGCCAATTCTCCAGTCTGCTGCGGAGCCCGCTTCTGTGCAGACTCAGCAAAAGTGTGCATATCAACCGCAAAGGGGGTGTTCGCGAGCACCCTTCTGAAACCTAAAATGACAAACAGGATCGGCCGTCGTAGTTTGACTTGTCGAGACTGTTTTTCAAAGATGGCTCCTGCCTGTATACGCGAAGTGGACTGTCTTTATAAAGTATCTTCTTATTAAACTGTCTGGTTCTCAATGCTTCGGTTTGCAGGTAGGGACCCTCATTACGCTACCGTGTTAGTGTAGGGCTATTTTGAGCCTTGTTAGTGGTATTAACTAGCGATTTTTATTTGCCATTACTCTATGCCCTATATACTAGCGTTATAGGCTAAACAGTTTTTAGAGATAAAACTCTTTACATTCGATAATCATGAAAACAAATCTCAGAGAACGGTTGACTAGGTAACAATGTGTAATTAGACCAAAGGTTCATTTTGTGCCGGAGTTCTCCTTTAACGGACATGCGCACGCAGCAGCAATTTTATGTCCACAAAACCGAAAGTGCATATTAAGTGTGAATTTTGGGACAGGATCATAGACATACGTCCTCTTCCAGGCAGATTCGTATTTCGTAAAATTTCCTGTTGATTGGAACTTCTTAATTATTGCCCTGATGGTTGAAATGTACCTTTCACGCTATTTTCGAACATTTTGTTGATTCTCTATTTTGTGCTATTTTCTTACATTTCTTGAATTTTTGAAGCTCAACAATCTTTTGCTGCACATCAGAATTATATTCTTTGTTTTTTTTCACTCATTGTGTTGGATGGAATAGAATGGAATGGGTGGAATTTGAACTTTTTGTTCCCTCATATTAATAGTCCTGTAAAACAGGAAACCATGGCTGGACAATATAAACCTGGTGTGCTAAAAATTGTAAATATGAATGGGAATATACTTCAGAGATCTTCAGAGATTTTACTCATAATAATTTCTAGGGAAACCAATAATTGTGGCCAATGTGTATTAGAGAAAACCATTTATTTCATAATGTTAAGATTTTCTTGGTTCATTGCATGTTTTATAAGCATCTCTGTCAAGCTAATTCAGATTAGCACAGAAGGTTTTAAATTAATCTTGTTTATTTTACTTCAAGACTCCATAGTCCAGGTGTTAGTACTTAATCTGTGTTTCAGAAAGCCATTTTTAAACCACTATTAACTATTCTAGATTAAAGGGTTAGTTCACCCAAAAATGAAAATTCTGCCAGTAATTACTCACCCTCATGTTGTCCCAGCCCCGTAAGACTTTCGTTCTTCTTCTGAACACAAATTAAGATATTTTTGATTAAATATCACTCTAAGTCTCACTCCTCCATAGGCTTTTAGGTAATTTCATTCTGCCGGCCCAGAAAAGTTAGTAAAAACATTGTTAAAATAGTCCAAGTGACTACAGTGGCTCAACCTTAAGTTTATCAAGCGACGAGAATACTTTTTGTGCGCAAAAACCCCCTAAAATAATGACTTTATTCAACTCTTCATTTTCTTCTGTGTGGGCCTCTGACGCGAGTTCACGAGAGCGCCATGACGCATGTGCGAGAACTGAGAAGATGACGCTCACTATCATTTGATGGGAAAGTGTGAAAGGTAAGCCATTCCTTTTGCGGCATTGGTAAGGCACTTTTACGGTTTCTCGCTGGTTTCTCACGATTCGGACATCCAATGCACACTTTAGAACCATTTTAAACACTACATCGAGACCCATCTGCGACATCATCTCAGTTTTCGTGCATGCATCGTGGCACTCTCGTGAACTCACTCTGAAGGTTTATTATACAACCCAATCCAAAAGTAAAGATTATCCACGAAAGAGCTGTCCATGCCATGGATATACACCACCAGGGAAGTCAATTCTGCTTGGGTTTTCAAGATGACTAGGCTCATGCTCAACAGGTTGCAATGAGTCTGAGCTTCTTTCCAGGATTTATTTTCATTGACCAGACTGAATTCGAGGATACTGTTAACTTTTCTGAAGCAGACAAAAGGGTGTTCCTCAAAGCAAAGGCGGTCATGCCAATATCCTCTCCAATCAATCACTGCACAAAAAAAAATGTTAAACCACAGGGAGTATGTGACTGGCTCGTTGTCGCCAATCCATCTCCAGGTCTCTTTCAAAGGAGTATCTTCTTTCACTCTAGCTAGACCAATCCAGGCCAAATTATTATTTAGCAGAGCACTTATGAAGTTGTTGTCCAAATCATTACGTATAATCGCAAGACCAGCGTGATCCGTTTCACACTGTTGTTTTGGCTCCAGCCAAGTTTTATTTTCTTTGACTAAGACCCAGACTCCAGAATCCTCCTTACACACAAAGAATAGTTTAGCGTCACATTTTGTGGTATAAAACCAACTTCCAGCCTTGTTCATTGAGACACACTCTCCATACCAGTTGAAATAATTGGATTTGGTCTCATCCACCCAGTACCAAGCTGTGAAAAACCTAAAAATTCCCATCCAAGAGAGCTGGCTGACAGAACCGCTGAGATTCTTCAGCTCGTTCTTATCCGAGGTTACTAACAGTTGCCCGGAATTATTTAGGCAATACTTCTTTGCATCATACCAGCTCATCTTCTTCTCCACATGGATGATTTCCTTCACTAATCCTGGAACGGATATATCGGCAGACGTATGGAGTGCCAGTAGAAGGAAGCTAAGAAGCCCAAACATCTCCATGGTGAGACAGACAGCAACTGTTACAAGAACATGTCATGTTAAACTAGACTTGAGATTCATTTGCATGACGTCATAGTGAGTATTTGAATAGGATGCTTTGAGCTACTGTGCAAAGATGAAATGGTTAACTATCTTCCTAATCCGTATTGAAATGAGGGAACCAATTCAAAACATTCAGTCTTAGTTGCCTAACCTTATTTACAAGGATTAAAAACACAAATAAAACACTAAAAGATCATTTAATTGTCTGGTTTTAAAATGTATGTTTAGTTAAACTCTTCCATACTGTGCTATGAAGTTAATTGAATTATGACAAATGTTTTTTTTTAATTTTTACTGTAGAACAGGGATGAGTATCTGACAGAAGGAAGAGTGTTTGTCTGAGAAAAGTGTGCATGTATTTAAATTAAAAGGTTCAGTGAGGATGCTGGTGCGATGTCGGTGCAGCTAATCTGTACTTTGCAATGGAAATCCTCCTCATCTCACGAGAAAGCCTTGTGACAATTGATACAGACTACACACGACATTTGACAAGATATACAGTCTTCCTTCATTTTCTGTAATTTAATTAGTCTCAACTATGCTCAGATTCTCATAAAATAATCTATGAATAGCTAACCACACTAATAAAATCCACAAAATGTAAACAATGTTGGATATTATACTTGTTGAATGTGCAATGTCCCCTTATAACACATTTCACTTTTTATTCAGGGTCTCAAACCAAAAGCAATATTTGACGTGCTACTGCTCATACTTCGAAACATTTAGGGCTTTTCACAATTTAAATAGTTAACCCTGGGTCAATCTACTGTAAACCCCGGGTAAAGGGAATCCTGGGGCAATAATATTTCATGTTTCACACTGCTCATACTTATCAATTACAACTGTAGGTATATGACATTTCACATTGTATATCCATAAACTTTGGATTGGTGTTCTTATTTGAAAATTTGCAGTGTGAAAAGTCATGATTGGATAAACCCAGGGTTTGGAATGATGATAACCCAGGATTAAGTGTTGTGTGAAAAGCCTTTTATTTTCATTTCTGCTGACACCACTGGTACTTTTAGTCCAGTTTCCTGAAGATCTGCCCAACAAGAAGCATGTGCTTGGACAGTATATTGCTGCAGTGCACCAACAGAAGTGGCACAGTATATTGGCAGCATTGAGGAGTGGAATAATAAGGCAGGATGTTCTTGTGTCATTAATGACAAAAGTAGGTACTTCCAATTCCAAACCATTCCAGGGGCCAGGAAGTGCTGATGAGTGCTATGTACCAGTAAGCCACCACAATCCAGGCATTTTTATGTGCATTCAACCACCAATGGTAGACAGTTTTACTCTAAAGAAGAAGACTTGACTTCCAGAGCTTTGTAGATGTACATTTTTTCTTCTTCATAACAATACATATTTTGACTCTCAAAAATCAAGATTAACATTACTGCTTTTATATGAATAATAAGGGTACATTTCTAGTTTCAACATTATTTGTTATTCAGATAGTCCTCTTTAAATACAATACGTCAGATGTATGCAAACTGACCCACATTTGGGTTTCGACCATTGAACATCTATCAAATTCAACAATTTGCACACGGAACCACATTGACATTTCCCATATCTTTGGGACTAAACTATATGGCCTTAAAAAGAAGATACCAAATGAAAATTTTAAGAACCTAAAAAGATATTGAGATATGTGTATTTGACAGAACGAAGAGTATTTACCTAAGAAAAGAG